ATTCTGCTCTAGTGAACAACCTGGAATAACAGCGGAGTGCCCATCAAGAGGCATTTATTTAGGTCAGATTTTGTTCATCTTTCCATCTGATGAAATGAAGGCGCGTGACTATGAGGCTTTATAGGACCAGTGTGTTGCATTTTTGGGGATCCATTAATAATAATTATGAATAAAATATTCATAACTATGTGTTCATTAGTGTATAACCACCTGAAACGAAGTACCATGTTTTTCGATGGCTTAGAATGAGTCCTTAATATATACATCGGTAGCGGGCCGTCTTCACGGAGTCCGCCATGTTGCACCGCCATATTTCTACAGTAGCCCACAACGGACAAACTAAACACTGGCTCTAGACGGAGCCTTTCGTCTTTTTACGCTACCTGAAGGCCACCGTAGTTCTCCGACACGCTTGTGTTAACCATCACAGTATGAAATTAAGTTTGTTAACCGGCAATATTCAGTAAAATATGTGATGAGGACATCGGCATTTATGCTTTTCTAGTCGCCGATCTCTGATAACGTTATATTGTAACCAATCTGTGTTTAAATGAACAGAAGGAGACCAAAGGCTCGGTTCAGTAAAAAGTAAAAAGTTAAAACTGACTTCACAGTGGTTGAAATAATTTTTTGGATGGTGGCAAAAAATAAAGAGTCTGGAGCCTTGTAGACCAGCTCTTATCATCAATAAACAAAGGGATCTTAATCTGCCAATGTGGATCGTCAATTAGTATCAGCGGCAAAAAAAAACGTGATCAGGGATCTCCAAAAGTTATATATGCTCCCTTTTTTATTTTGTGCTGATCAGATCTGTGATCTGATCCAACTCCGACCCACCATCCCCTTAAATACGGGTACATGGACCACGATGACGCTTGATTTATTGCAGGACTTCAGTAGTTTAATCAATTACTTTGTTAACAGAAGCTAGATTGACAATCATGATTGATTAATTAATTGTAATTTTACAGTTTATAGATGAAACGAATCATCGATTGATTGAAAAAACAACAGATGGAAAACGCAATGAGTTGAATAATAATTAGCTGTAACTGGATTACATCAGATGTACTTCATCTTCAGCTTCATATTTATGAGCACCAGATGGCTGGATGGTTCCTCTTGTGTTAACTTTGCTGAGTTCACCTACGTGTCACACCTTAAGTTAGTCATCCTTTCGGGCAGAGCGTATGGCTGATTTTTCCTGCCATGCTCTTGTGTGTTTATTTTTGCACATTCAACAATGAGATGCGTAGGTTTGCTCATTATATTCGGGGGGAAGAGAAAGAAAGAAACGCAGCGTTACGCAACGCTCCAGCCTCAGGGGGGACTACAATGGACTCTTAATAGGAGGGAAACTAGGCCGTGCACTGAGTGATGAAGAGTGTGTCTGAGGTGGCCATGTGGATGAGGAAGCTGTGTCTTTGTCTTCCCATTGTGTGCACATGGAACGCCCAAAACACACACTTTCGTCATTCAGGCGTTCTTACCTGTGCCTTCACTCCTTCTCATTCACATGCTGCTGTCTCACTGTTTTCATTACCATCAACAGTCCCTCCATCACACTGTCACCCGCTCTTCCTATTTCTCTTCCCCCCCCCTCATCTTCTACTCCCTCCACATCCTCACCTCAGGGATTGCCTTTCCGCTCAGCTAGATCTTCCTTCCTTTCTTTCCTCGTGTCATCGCCTCCAGCCAGAGGCAGTGGAGTGGGCCTCTTGAGCTAAGAATGAGTAAGTAAGGAGAAGGTTGTTAACATATCGAGTGGACTACTCGGACCTAATTCAGATAGCGGTAAAGTGGTCAGAGCTGCCAATTTGATTATTTACTTAATTATTTATTTAAGAGCGAATGTGTGCACACCGGTCGGTGAAAGATAAGTGGTGTTTTTTTAACTAAATGGAGGGTTGGGAAGTGATGGAGTTGTGCTGTGTGTGTCTTTGTGCAGGCACTGTGTGTGTGTGTGTGTGTGTGTGTGTGTGTGTGTGTGTGTGTGTGTGATCTTCCACTGAATGGCTGCTACATAATTCAGGAGCCATTACTTGTGCGTCCTACTACTGAGAAAGAAAGGACAGTAGAGAGAGAGATGGACAGAAAGAAAGTGGAGAGTGTTGTTTTGGCCATAACTGCGTTAAAAGCTACCTTTGGAATAAATCTTTCACCAAATACATTTGTGATTTCCTTCTAAAGGTCCGCGAGCACTTTTTACAGACGGGCGACCGCGAAAACCGGCGCTGGCACGGAGGTATTGTATTATTGACGGTTGTCCGTCTGTCCGTCCCAGACTCGTCAACGCGATATCTCAGGAACGGGTCGAGGGAATCTCTCCAAATTTGGCACAAACGTCCACTTGGACTCGAGGATGAACCGGTTAGAATGTGGTGGTCTACGGTCACAAAAGTCTCACCAAAACTCTCAAAATTCACATGCTAATTATGACAATTTCAGTATCTGAGTATCTAATAGGATAACATGATGAAGTGGTGACATGGATGTAAACTGCAACTTGACTAGTTGACCAGACGAATACAACCCCCGAGGCTGGTTGAATTCTACAAGGGGTTTTCGGCAGGTTTGGAGGCTTAAACACCATGAAACTCAAAGCTAAAACAAAGTTTATTCTTTTTAAATGATCTGTGTGAGGCCTAAGGAGCCCCAGCACCCCCCCACCTCTGCCACATTCCCTCCTTTCTCTGCATTGCCTGGCTGCAGGGGAATCACAAGACAGAGGCACGGCAACTCAAGGAGGCCCGTCACATGCTGCTCGATTCAAATAGGCTGCGATTAATTCGCCCTTTCACTCGTCCTCCATCCCTAACCTGCGCGTTACCATGACGATAAGAGCGGCTGGGTGGCCCTCTCTTTCTCTGTCAAACAATCTGACCCCCCCCCCACACTATTATCCACCTGAACCCCACATCTCCATCTCATTTAACACGTTCACCTCAATTACACCCGGTTTACGCCAACTCTCATCACTCCCAAACCCCAAGCCCGCCTTCGAGACGACACGAGGAGCGCCTCTTTGTCTCACCTTGGTACGCTCCGCCATCCATCTGTCTGAGCACACCCATTAACACATTTACCATCCCGCCTCTTAAACCCGCAGCACTAAATTTCCACTAATCTCCGCACCTTCTTCACGGGGCACTGGAGAATATGAGAGAGCGGACGGGGTCAATGAGAGGAGATCCTTCCTTTGACGCTGCTTCGATGTTTTCGTTTTTGTTTTGTCTCTCTCAGCAGATGCGTGGCCCTCTACATGAAAGGCATGTAGCCGTGAAATGGGACAAGATGAGGCACTGCGCCCCAACAGATGGAGCTAGGTCGAGGAGCGAGGATAGATTATTGTTTTTAGGAGAGGGAGCAATTGACAAAGACGAAGATTCAAAGTGCGAAATGAGTCAACACGCATGATCATGATATCCACAAACATCCTGCAGTCGTGTTTTTGCTTTTCTATTAGCGAAGTCGACAGCAGAGGGAATGTGTCGGATGATAAACAGCTGTTTTGAGGCTTCTGGAGGATTAGTCAATTGGCGATTTACCTGCCTCTCTCGTGGCAATCGTTGATATATATCCTTCCATTTTTGGATTTTAATCCCACACATCACAGCATGAGAACAGATGGCTCAGCAATGAAAAGATTTCGGATAAAAAAAAAAAAAAGGAAGAGTAAAGGGGGGAGGGACCGAGCTTCAATAAACCCATCTGCTCACAGATGGATGCAGAATTCATGCGAGGCTGTTAGGCTGGTCTCGCAGAAGGTGGGATGGGGGCTAAAGGAGGAAGGAGACGGGGAGGATAACAAGCTCGCAGGATGCAGCTGGTCTTGTTTTCGGGGCTGTTGAAGATGTTCATTCGTGTTTATTTTTGTGTCTTATTCACAGTAACTGTTTGCGTTAGTTTGAAATTGTTTGTTTCTGCCTACAGAGACATTTAGCAGAGGACAGGGATTTATCTAATACTACAGTGGAATATGTCAAATGGAAGCTAAAGGAAAAATTAAGGATCTGTAATTTTGTTACTTCAGTCCATTTCACTGACAATACTTTTTCTGTACGGTCACGTAAGTAGATGTTTGAATGGGTACAAATCAAGTCAAATAAGACAGCCCAGTCAGCTTTTTGTGGGATGTCCTGTTCAGAAAACAAGCAACTCAACAAGCCCATCAGATTTGACGTCCCCCTTTCTATGTCACATGCAGACTCATTTAGAGTATAACCCCCCCCCCACACACACACCTCATCTGAGTATCTCCAGAAACTACCTTTGCAAAGGTGCAAAACATATTTTTCTCGCAAGCAAATCAAGAGCAGACTGGGCTTTTTTGGGAGGCGGGGCTTAAAGAGACAGGAGCTAAAACGGAGCGTTTCAGACGGAGGGTGAATACAGGTATATTCAGACAGACAGTATGAGAAAAATAATGTGTATTTTGAACATTAAAGCATGCAAACATGTTCTAGTAGAAACCCCAAATTCAAGTATGAACCTGAAAATGAGCATGAGATGTCCCCTTTAAGCAGGTTCACACGCTGGTTTTGCTACTTTTATTTAGGTAAAGGATCTTCTTTCACCACTGTGTACCTGTTCACAAGTCGCTGCATGCATTTTGCATACAATATCTCACTATTGCCATTATTGTGCGTGCACTATATCATGTGCACCCTCTTTCTTTTAGCGAATGTAACTGCTGCACACATCTTTATATATTCTAAACTCACCACTCACTGTTTATTCCATGTATTATCCCTATACGTGTGCATTACTATGCACTTCTGGTTAGATGCTCAACTGCACTCTCATTCCAATCGAATTATCATGTAAAGCACATTTAGTTCACTTGTAGCTAAATGTGCTACGTGACCTGAAAAACACTGCATTGCCTTGACTTTAACGGGTTAAGTTACGTAAAAGCATTAGTCACAAGTGACCCTACATTCCACTTCAATCATTCAATGATCTCCCCCCTCTTCTCTCCCTCCCCTCCCTCCCCCTAGTCCCTGATATTCCTGGGCTGCGTGGCGGCTGCGGGGCTCGGCCTCAACCTGCTGTGCCTGGCCATCTACCTGAGCTGCTTGTGCTGCTGCCAAAAAGACGAAGAGGAGGAGAGCAAGAAGCCCAACTCCTGCTGCGTCACCTGGTCCGCCGTCGCTGCCGGCCTCATCACATGGTGAGGGAGTCAAGACGAGATGTCATGACTAACTGCTGATCACAGTGCACACACACACACACGCTCTGTTGATGTCTGCCGTGCTGCGTGTTTTCACGTTTTTCACTGTATTCCCACACGAGATCCATAACATATTGCAGTTCATAGCTCCTTGTCCATGCTGTGTGTCTGTCTATCTGCCTGTCTCTGTTCTCCCATTTCGTATTCTCAAGGTGTTCAGCATCCTCTTTTTCTTGTCTTCATGCCTTTCAGGCCACCTCTCTTTTTGAAATACCCCGAGCTTCTATTTGCAGTTGTGCAGACACTTGTGGCTTGGGTTTTAGAATAGCATCGGCAGTCGTCTTTATTTCCTTCCTTTTGATGAGATCAGTCGTCTGATCTGTCTCCGCTAAGTCTCTTTTACTTCTGTGAGACATTGATGCGGCTGATGTGGAGGAAATCTCCCTGATAACCCTTAGCCATTCCACATTTCTGTGTGATTTAAAAAAAAAAAAAAAAAAAAAAGAGAGATATCAAATGCACAAAAGAGTGGGAGTTTTTGACATTTGCACAAGCAGTGTTTTCTTTGAACATCCATCTGTGTTTTACACACACAAAACCGTCCCTGTTGGGAAGCTGCGGCCTCTGGTTTTGGGAAGGATGTCGTGGTAGAAGCCGTCCTGATCTGGGTGTATCGTGAATATTCTGCTGACAATGTGCATTACTGCCTGTGACGGACAACTGGCAGACAAATCTCATCACCTTGATGTCCTGAACCTCTGGATGGGCTGCATCAACTGAGTCTGCAAAATGAAATGCAAAAATAAAAAAACGTCATGTAGGCGAATAGGTAACGATGCAGTACACAAGATACATATAATAAATAATATATATACATTGCAGCTCTCTGTTGAGAAGCAGCACTGTGCAGGATAACAGATGTATACAGAAAATAAGACAGAGCTAAATTATAAAATTCTAGGAATATTTTAGAAATATTACAGGGATCATATACACTTGACTTGAGATAATAGTCCATGCAGGTCACTACTCTGCATACTCTCTAAAGAATATTACTCAGGTCTTGAAACTAACTAACAGACTGTTAAGTTTATCAAGCGTAGCCTATTTATTTTGCTTCTATAATAACCTCCTGTTCACATCGCTGGCTGGATAATGCAGCACAAATAATGGAAAACAGGTCACACAGGTCGCTAATGGTGAGTGCAATTTACATTTTCATTAGTGTCATTAGCACAGATCTGTTGTCGCCAACACAAAACAGAAAAGAAAGAAAATAAGTTAAAGCCTTATTCTCATGTCTTATGTATGAGAAAGTGGAAATTGTTCAATAAACCACTTATGTGGTTATGTGCGTCAGTATCTTTCGGATGATATCTGACCAAGTGTGATTTAACAGTGGAGGAGCCGTGCAATAAGATGCAATTTGTTTGGGCTGGAGGCTGCTGGATCTCAAACGAGTCTGCGGTGAACTGAAAACTTTCCTGATGTGAAATGACACGATGTTTAGTTGCTCTAAAGATTAATAACATCAGTGTTACAGCGGTTAGCTGGTGCGCAGGCAGCCTGGAGCAGTTCATCATCTCTACCTGGATCCAACTTTTCATTCTGCTGCCGTCTCAAACCTGCAAAATCAACCCGTGACGCTGCTGACGAACATCAACTGTTGCTAAGATTCATTTAGTCTGCTAAAGGTACCAAAACACGTGTACCGATGCAACGCAGTCAGCACTTCCGTCACAAGAGAGATCCGATTAAGCCAGTCAATGAGATGCGCTCTCCCTTCAAAGTAGCCAATTGAATTTGTTGCCAGCAGAGTGGATACTTTTCTCAACCATGCGACATTCATGTTTAGCAACCAGCAGTGGGTAATATTAAATTAAGCCTCGAGCGTTATCGTACATCCATCTGTCCGTCGTGTTTCGGAGAAGGTTAATTGATAAATGGATACGCTGAGAGCTCAGCGCTGCCGGCTAAGTGCTCGTGTTCTGTGCCACCTGTAGGTGAACCACGACAATGGCTTACATCAATACAGTGTATATGAAAAAAAAATAAAGGAAATAAATGCATATCCATGGAAACATTTCAAAATAATGAACCCCCTCAATTCAAAGCTAAATGCTGGTCGCTAAAAGCAGGATGATGAATATTCTGTATGTCAAATAAGCTTTGAATTAAACTCGGAAAGAAACGCCACTAAAGCACTAATCATACAACACTTTAACATTTATTCTGCGGTTGCAGTCCGCTTCTGTTCCCCCCCAGTCAACCCGTCTTCATTATGTGACATTTAATTATGCATGTGCAGTTTCATAAAATATGCGCAGCGACTTGGTAGCCCTCCTCACATTAAAGATGTATATGTTGCAGAGTCACAATAAGAAAAAGTGAAAATACAGCTGCAAGTAGAAGAAGCCGAGGACTGTGGGAACTGTTGTGTGATGACGTACGGTGTATTCACACATATAGTACGTTAAAGTCTTGTTGCGTTTTGCTTCTGACAGATTGGCCCAAGATGGTGGATTCTGTCAGAAGCCCTTGTGAGTCGATTATCTGGGTGGTGGATTAGATTTTAAACCAATCTGCAAGAATTCTCCCCTCTAAAGAAAATCATATCCATCTGTCTGGTCTTCACTTCATGTTGGATACAGAAGAATATACCTTGAGTACCATGAAAAATCATGTGTGTGTCATATATTTTGGCTGAATAGTAATGCCATTAGTGACATGTTTTGGTCTGGAGTAGATTTAAAGAGCTCGCATTGGCCCGACTTGATGAGCTGTAAGACTTAATGGTGTGAGATGAATGAAGAAACATCTTGTGGGAAATCAACTCTCCTTCATGTGATTCCTAACTTTGATGATGACAGTCCTCTGGATGTTTGGAGCGATTGTCCAGTGGGGGGGTTTTGAATTGGACTTGGGAACCGGAAAACTAGCTTTGCTTTAATCTCATCAGTCCAGATCCTCTTTTCACCCTCACTTTACCCCCGACCTCTCCTCCCTTTGTCCTCTCTCCGTTCACCTCTCCCCTCGTCCTTCTGTCTCTGCTTAAAGTCCTGCCGTCATCCACTCTAATTGTTATTTGTCCGTGGCTGGAGCTGTCCGTCCTAATTAACACCGGTGAACCCAGAGCAGATCTCACATTTAGCTGTGGTTGCGGCCCTGTAATTAATATCGACTTATCGTACAACATATGGACATGATTTTGATCCTTTTTATTATCGAGGTTGTTATGGACTTTTTGTAAGACTTATGGACATTAGCTTGATAACTTTTACATTTACACTTTTACAATTCCAATGTCGTAATTTATAACATATTTTGGAAGACTTTTATTAAGCATTGCAAGCGTTCTTTATGTTTTGCCAATCAGTTTCAACCTTATAATCGTCCCTTGGACAGTCGGATGTAAACCATCAAATAAATGAACATGTCAAATATTAAGACTTGTTGAAGAAGTCTGAGGCACTCAGGGTAGTGTTTTAAAAAGCCTTTAATACCGTGATCAGTAAGTAAGTGACATGATAAACGTTTAAAATGCTTTAAATGAAAGAGGTATAAACCATTGTCAGTATTCTCCAACCTACTCCAAATGCAGAGACTGCCTACTGCCAATAGGATCCTCAGACGTTATTCTTCTTTCCAGGACACTTGAAATATTTATTTGTGTGTGTTTATTATGATAGGTGTCTGTTGCCAAGTGGAAATGAGAATGGAGGAAACATGAAAAGGGTGAGAGAGAGAGAGAGAGAGAGAGAGATGTCTGTTTACATGACACCGCTGTCCTCCATTGGATCCCATACAGAAAAGATTTGGCACACATGAGAGCAATAGAAATCACATCAGCAGTAGTGTTTTAAAGCCCTCATTTCACTTTTTTGTTTTGGGGGGGTCATATATTTTTAGTAACTCACACTGTATAACTTTCACTTCATGTCAGGCCTTAAATTGGGTATTTTGAAAGTTCTCCAGCTCTGAAAGTGGAGATGTGTTCATGCAAAATTCAGATAGGAGCTACTTGTATTGTATATTCTAGGCCTACTGCATATTAAGGGACATTTCTTTTTTCGGGTGGCTCTTGCTGAGACTTCAAGAGGACGGAGTAAAATATAAAATGTCTATATTTGTCATATCAGGAGAGTCATTGCTGCCATTTTGGGGCAAAATCTCAAATATTCAAACATGTCTGAGTCTATTAATAGTTGCCGAGGGCATTCTTTCTGCTGCAGGCTTTTGGTTCCCTTTTTCTGAATTCCCCTCAATGTCTTTTATCCACTTTATCAACATGACAGTTTGGATTTTTGCTCAGTACATGGTATGTCTACTCCGATCTATGATATTCTTTCTCTTTGAATTAGACTGTGGATATGTGAAGGAGCAGCACTGGAAGGGGCAGAGGAGGAGACCTATTCTCCTTCTCTGCACGTGCCTCTCTGGTCCTCCCAGTTCCCTTATAAAATAATTAGATTCCGCCATTAAAATATGTGCACGCTTCAAAGAAGGCCGTGTTTCTCCCGGCTACTTTTTACCCGATACATTTTTCTGTGTTCAGACACAAAGAGATAAAAGGAGAGAAACTCCTGTGGTGCGTTTCCGTTTTGAAGGTGAAGTTTTGGTGGGAAACAAAAAAAGAAACATCCAACAAAGAAAATGTACCAGTTATCATTTGTAGATTATTATTAAATGTGGGTGCATTAAAGAAGTAAAATCTTCTCTAATATGTTTCTCTGCTTTTTCCTGTCTTGCTCTGTTCGTCCCATTGTCTGTCTCTCTGCCTCTGTGTCATGTTGTTTGTTGTGAACTGCCTCCCTGCCTACATGTATATTCAGCCTACACCGCCTGCTTGTATCACTGTCAGTCTGTCTCTTTTGGTCTGTCTGCATCCTTTACTTGCTGTCTCTCTCCAAACTGATGCATTTTTTCTCACGTCTATTCTGCCTTAAATGTACCCCCCCCTCTCTTTTTTCTGCTTAACGCTTATCTGGAAGATCAGGGTGGAGTCGGGAGAAACCACGAGGTTAAGTAGGCTGCTCTCAAGTCCCCTGACCAATCATACAAAGCTGTGGCCTGCTCCAACCATGGTCTCACAACAGTTTGGCTCTGCTCCATGGACTCTCATGCAATAGTTTTAGATTTAGTCTTCATTTTTAGGCTGGTGTTGTGGATTTGAAGCTAGTCATGGTTAAGCGTTGAGTAATAGTGGCACTCCTTACCTGGAGAGGTTGGCAGGAGATATATACGTTTCTAAAAACATTACGTTTCTACCTAAAAACTTGTGGAGCTAACATTAGCAGAGTACGTTAGCACATCATTAACTAGCATTAGCACTTCTCTGCTCTGCTAGCTACTCAAGATGTAGCTAATTTTTCCAAAGAATTTGATAAAATATATGCAGGGAGTGCAGTTTGTGACAGTGTGGGCTCCATGGTAGCTCTGACAGCTTGGTGGAGTAGCAGGCGGGAGGCGAGGCTTTGTAAAGGGTCAGGGAGGCTGATTCCTGCTTCATTTGGTACCAACCTGCCTCTGGCCTTCATCTGCAGCACATTTTGTGACGGGGACATTGGTGGTTTATAGCAACCAGGAGTACACCAGGGGGTACTTTCTCAGTTGCTCGAGTATACGTGGAAAGATTGTGGAGTAGAAATCACAAAGAAAACACCTGAACACCATCGAGTGTGCATGGAAACTAATTATCAGAAGATGTAACCGATGTTTAAAAGAGATAGCTAAAAGTACGACATGATTAGTTATCTGAAAGTAATGGATGAGCAGCCGGGATAGAGGTAATGGATACATCCTTGAATTGAATTAGCTATAAGTGGATGTGGTGATTATGAGACCAGAGAAATCTGTATTGATGTTTTATGGTTTATTAAAGAAGTGAAGAGGCAGCCACACTCATGAAACCTTGCAGAATTAACGAGGTCATAAAATATAGACCTTATAGAAAATATAGAAAATATAGACACCGCTCAACTCGAGCAGTGCAATTGATCCCAGTTAAGCAGTTTGCCTCCCTGGTTAATATTGACTGGCGTTGATTATCAGATAAAGCACTGAGCTCTGTCTCTTTGTAACAAGTGGCTACCTCCATTGTAATACAATAAACACCTTTTGAATGTAACGCAGTATAATTTAGGGAATTCTACTGGGAAAACCTGAATAAACGAGGAAAACACAGAATGCACATTGTTGCATACAAAGAGGTACAAGGATCTCAAACCAGTTAAACCATCATGGGACATTTGGGAGCAATATGTTAGACAGCAGAACTCTCCACTAACTCCAGTAGAGTTTCAGACACTTCTCTGCCAAAGAGCATTGAAAATGGAGGCTGGTGGTGGCCAAACACCTTTTGCTGAGACGCTTCACGTTGGGTTTGTCTCTCAATTTGACAGCCATGTTAACCTGAATCAACACCTCTGAACATTCATATTTCATAAAAGTAGGATTTGCTTCAGGGCTGTTGAATTGGATTGCGCTGGAGGTAGCTACGGGTGCACCTCAAGTCCCAGTGAAAGGATAGTTGGAGCGTCTTGAGCTTCTGTGCTGTGAGTATTAACCAGTGAAGCGGAATGTTTGAGAGTTGTACAGTTACAAGAGGGATTTAAATCAAATAATTTGCATTTGATTGTACCGCTAAGAAGTGGGTGGGGTTAGAACATAGCGTGATACGGAGCGTGACACCTCGCTTGCCGCTAAAGGCTGCAGTTTGATTGATGGGTGGATGCTTTGATGTTATTGGTTAAAGTTGTTTGTATTTTGTTTTGCAGGCAGAAAAGAAGATTTGATTTTGATATAAAAAATAGGAAGAAATTGTTTATTTTTGTGAACATTTTAAATAGGTGCATAATATGACCCGATGGTTTCAAGGGACTAAAAGGGCATTTTTTTCACTTCATCTCTATTTTAATAAACTGGTGACCCGATGTATTGAGAATTCTTCTCTCCAGGAAATATGTCAGCGGAGGTGTAGGCCATGTTATATTCTGAGTCTTAGAGATCCGGACCTCATCTCTCATCTTATGATCAATTTAGTGTGGTGAGTGTGTGTTGGTCGACCAAAAAGTTTTACTCATCACGGTAACTTTATGTCCTTTTGCTGTGTCATTCAGAGACTCTTTTACCTTGGAGCTTTATCTTAAGTTCCATAAAAGGGTAGTCATTTCCTCTGAAGTTATCACAGGTGGTTTTTATTTCAGGCGAGGGACTATAGGAACTATAAAACACACCTGGCATTTTACCGCACTGGGACTGTTGTTTGTTCATTCGTCCCTAACGGACATCTTTGTCTTTGCCAGTGCCGTCAGAGTGTGCTGAGAGGCGTTACGTGTCCACGTCTGATTTATTTGTGGGGTTTGTCGAGAGCGATTTTGTGGCGGCTCTCAAATCCCATCATGCAGCAGTACAATGCCACGGCACTTTGGGGAGAAAAGAAGCTCAAAGAGACTACTAAGAGTGCGGGTTGATGGTTATTCTGTCTGTGCCGATGCTCCTGCTGAACAAATGGAATCCTTGGATGAGTGAAGCAGTTTCAAAATGATGCATACACACACATGCCAAAAACCTGTATTGTATAATTTCTGGTTCAAAGAGTTGTTGTTTACAGAAATCCATACAGTTTCTCGCGGCTCCACTGCTGTAAAGACGCCTTCGCTTTCTGCTGCAAACCATTCGTTTGTTTGCAGGTTTTTTGCATGCAGATTTCAGTTTCAGTCACTTATACATCTCGGAAAGCGATGCACGAACAGTAAAAGAGGACACACTCAGGATGAATCACATTTGATCCCCCCCACAACCTTAATTGCGTGTCTCCAATATGCTCCCACAAGACGCACACACCGCAACTTTCCCAATCTGTCATTCCTTCCGTTTGGATGACTCTGTTGACAATTAACTATTTCTTCCGTCTCCTTTCAGGGATTGTCCCAAAGTGCCTCATTACCTTTGCATTTCTCTTTCCCTGTTCATGCAACAGTGTTCATGGAGAAATTGATGATAAAACCCAAACGCCAGAATGACAATGAAAGGACTGAAAAAAATCTATAAATGTTGTGTATGTGCTGTGATCTGTTGAGCCTGAGTCCTTGTAGGTATTCTATCTCTATGTACCCAGCTCCCCTCATCCATATATAAAAAGGCTTACCTGTGCTTCCACACCTTCTTCTCTCTGCAGCATCGCGGTGGGTGTGGGATTCTATGGCAACAGCGAGACCAATGACGGCGTGTACCAGTTGACCTACTCCCTGTACAACGCCAATCACACGCTGGGCGGCGTGGACAGCCTGGTGGGTAAAACGTTAGCGTCGTATGGTGAAATGTGTCGCGCACATAAACGCCTCACGATGTCCGTGTGTGATTTAAGTGGCGTCGTGTTTTTACTTTGTGCCGTGTCATGAGACATACAGATTATAGATGAGAGGCCCATCCCGCCGGAAACAAACAGCTCTGAGTGAAAGGCTTCAGAACAGCCGGTTGTGATATTTTCATACACACAAACACACACGGGAGGAGGAAAGCCCAGAGGACTCAATTTAGTATGCCTTTAAATGTTTTTTATAGTCTTTTTATGGCTTTTTACCGCTACAAACCCGACACACAGCCTCTCACCCTCCTTGCTCCACCTTCTCCCAGCTGCTGTGGCCTCGGCAGAAACTCAGTATGTGTGCGTGATCTTTTTTCTATTTTTATCTGCCTCACTTCCCATCACACAGACGCCCAAATGTAGCTCGCTGTTTTACAAATTGAACTCTAAAGATGAGACTTTTTTTTCTCCTTTCAGTCAAGAGTCAAACTTAAGTTAAATCAGTTTGATATTTTCTCTCTCTTGACTCCCCCCCCACCAGTGTTTATGAAAAGTTGTCTTTGAAGTGATATGTAATATTAAAGATAGAGACTGGTAAAGACTAACTTGAGACTTGTTAAAATTAACTTCAGACTTGTACATACTGACTTGAGACTTGTAAAGTTGAATTTGAGACCTAATTTGAGACTTGTACAGATTAATTTGACACTTGTAAATATTACCTTGAGACTTGACATGAAGCTGTGACACACAACATGTAGTGTAGTGTTGGTACACATCAGCCGTGTGTTGTCGCCTCAGCGCTGTGTGACCTGCAATGATCCTGTGACGTGTCGGCGCTGGCAGAGACCCCGGGTGACTTGCTGTCGAAGAGTAGGGATTAAGTCTCCATCTGTGTTAATGGAGATTAATGTGGTGGTATGTGAACCACTTAGTGCGCTGACTCAACATGGCCTCAGTAATAAACACTTTGCAGAGAGGGTGAAGAGCCCACAGCACTATGTCAGGACTTGACTTACACAGATGATAAGGGAACACAATCCCAGATTTGAATGCAGGCTAGTTCTCAGCTGTCTGGCTCTGATTGATGCACTTTATAAATAATTTAAACTGGAAACATGTAATAAGTCTGCGATTACTGATGTTGAAAGATCAGTAGTGCTGCTTTAGATTGTCAGTTGGGATTAGTTCTCACGTTTGCCTTTTTGATTTAACACGGAAAGGTTGATACACTTCTTTGTCACTTCTAGTTTGTATGAGTTGTCCTCTCATCGTCTTCTTGTGACTCACTTAGCCACGTTCATCTCTCAAAGTCATATTAGCAGGCGGTGAGAAATCATTAACATATAACTCATCTGAAAGCTTGTCGGCGTGTCCCTCTGGGATGTGTGAACCCGCGCAGGCACATAATTGGACATGGTGGCCTTTATTTTAGCAGTGTATGCGCGTGAGTGCGCTCGCCTGCGTCTAAGTGTGTGTGTGCATGAGTGAGTTCATTTGCACGCAGCTATAGACTGTTAAGGAGTCCGGTTCTCGAGTGGGACAAAGAGCCCAGTGTGCCACACACAGTTCCCAGTCTCCCCCCACCTAATCAACCATGAGCCCCGGAGACAAAGCCGCTTGATGGGGAACAACAAGGAGCAGTGCTCGCCCGTCTGATTGGCAGAGTCGGGGTTGAAATCTGTATTGAAATCATCGACAATGAAGGCCTCACTGCCCTCTCCCCCACACAAATGCCTTTTTAGCGCGGCTCCAAGAGAGTTTAGAAGTGAGTTTGCTTCTAAAGACTCCGTATATAAGAGAGGAAAGGAAGGAAGTTGGACTCATTATCATCAGATGCTTTTTTTCCGGGCTACTCTTGAGACCTTGATTAGCTACGGTCTGGAATATATGCATATGATGTGTTTATGCACACAGGAACACACTGTCTCTCTTCGCGAGAATGTCAATTTGACAAAACACTTTCATACCGAGAGAGGTGCCATTTGGAGACGCTTAAAAAACATCATCAGGGCTGTTGAAGATATCTGGAAACTGGCCAACCAGGATGCTTCATTGATGCTGTGATGGGACATTTGAAGTGTTTAGCCACACTAATAATAACTCTATTGTTTGGAGATGGGTGTTGCGAGAGGTTTTGGCAGCCAGCAGTCACCCAGTGGACTGGGTCCATGTCTGGTTCGGTCCCTTAGCATTTGGCCGGAGCTCAAACACGGTTTGGAAGTTGACCCACTACATAATTACAAACATGCACATTTCTACAGCATTCTCATCATCGATTTTTTTTTTTTAAGAATAATACAAAATAATAAGGTTTCATAATGTCAAAGACCGATAGTAGATGATTCTTTGTGTTTGTGCATGTTCCCAGTTTGACCCTAGTTTTTATATAGAAAGACAATATGTTTTCTGAGAAATGGTTCTCCTCAAAGGAGTCCAATTATCTCGGGGTCTTGGTGTATTGTTCATGAGGGATGGGTGTGACATCCACAGACGGATCAGTGCAGTAAAACATGATTCATGGTCACTGCAAGAGGTTAACTGGAGTCCATCTGTGGTTACTTACAGCGAAGGTCTTTATCTACAGTTCAGCATCATATTTCTGCTGTCGATGTACACCGCCACAACACTGGCCGGATATATTTTATGCGACCAGGTTTCTGCCTGTAATACAGAGAGCAGGGCAGGGCATCACCATCTCTTTCTGTTTGTTGTAGTTCTTAAAAGAGAGAAATGCGTTAGAATCCAGGAGAAGAGACAACATCTTTTTCTTAGTTGTTTAGGAATCAGAAGGTACTATTAAACAGCTGCCGTCCCAGGGTTCAAATGTAAAGACCCATTTGATGAACACATTCTCTCTCCCAGCTAGTCAAGTGATGTCAGTGGCCCGACGGTTCATTCTGTGACGCTGTAGGTTGATGTGTCAATAACGGTGTGTCAATATGCGATCATGCATACATACAGTCTCTTTTCAAGATCCATTTCTTCTGTAGGTTTACTTAGTTTTTAGGTTTACTGATGCAACACAAGTACTTGGAGAGGTTTAGGCAACACAAGTACTTGGTGAGGTTTAGGCAACACAAGTACTTGGTGAGGTTTAGGGAAAAACACTTTAAACTAAGTATGCTTGATATATAAAGGTCTGTTACGCAACTTGTGCTAGTTAAGTGTGTAAGTTACGTAAAAAAACTAAAATCAGACAAAAGGTAACAAAAGGTAAAATCCGATGCTTAGGATCTTAGGCTGTTTGGATCTGGACGTGTGTGTTGTTTTAAGCTCACTGCAGGTGTGATCCAGTTGAGATATGGCTGAGAAGCTGAAGAGAAAGCTCTGACGCTGTGTCATCTCTGCAGCCAAACCCACTTCCACCTCTGTGTGAGCTCTCGCTCTCTTTAAAGAACTAAACTACTACTACTCCTTGTTGGAACTGCTCTCCTGTGGTTGTGTGTCACTGTACTTGCAGACACTCCCACTTCCTTCCTTCGGTTGACAGTCTTTGCCGTGTGGGCCATGGTCTTGATTTAATGCCGGCTCAGTGTTTCATCAGCAAAACCCATGCGGGGCAGCCTATTAAAATCTCTGTGGTCATCAAGTATCTGAGAGAGAAAAGAAGAGGGAGGAAGGGGAAGAATATATATTTTTAAAGAGATGTTCTGCTGAGCTTCGTTACCCAGTGGTGAAGATGCGGTCTCCATCTTTGTGGTGACCGAGCTGCTGAGGCACTTCGGAGTTCAGACCCATGTTCCATTTCACGCTCTAGCTCCCACATTCAATTTTAATGGAAGAAAAGTCTCTTCACTGCCGAGCAGAGACGAGACGAATTGGAGCAGTGGAAAAAAAAGGTTTAATCCTATATTTCAACCTTTGTTTTACTTTAACAAATGTGCACATTTTGTCATTTATCAAGCGATTACGGGACGATTACATAATCTACAGTGGAAGTGGTTCTTGGATGCTTGCTCAGTCTTAACGTGGTCTTTGGGGTATGATTCACACCTTTCATGATACCCAGCAATTTTCTTTCTCAACTCAGAGAACGACACTCTGGGAGGTTTGCGTCTTGAATTTGAAAATGTTGTTTTTACAGCCTCTCTGTTATGTGCTCAGAGAGTCATCGCCGAAGAATCGCTTCCTCTGACATCGTGTACAAGCCTCAACGGGCGTAAAGATCCAGTTCTAGTGAAGGGAGTAGTATTCATATTCTGTGGAACCTCAGAGACAGTATTGTAGTGTTGTAGTGTGGCAAACAATACACACATACACACACATCATTTCACAAAGAGATATTTGCAATCAATGTTGCTGTATTAAAGGACCAGTGTGTAGCATTTTGCGGGATCTATTAGCAGAAATGGAATATAATATTCATTAGTGTGTTTTCATTAGCGTATAATAATATATAATAATAATTACACTTTAATTACTATAAGTATAAATTATAAATTGTTGATAGTAATACTGTTTTTGCCATCAATAATGCACAAACGTAGTTCTTTGAAATGGCATATTAAACCCATATGAAACAATAACCAAGTTCTATGTAACTATATATTATATTTTATGATTTGACGGTAGAACCAATGAGGCAAGGAGAAGGATGCGTGACTAGCTGACCACACCACCCCCACCCTGTTTATTCCCTTTCCTCAAGCTCAAATCTGATATTTCCCTTTTATATATTTTTTCCAGCCCAAGGCCACTTGTCATTTGTCACATCTGAGTCATTTATTGTGATTTCTGATGTTTTCTTCATTGTGGTGTTTCGCCCTCTGGCATGTGGAAATGAAGATCCCACAGTAAAAGAGCTCTGCGCCAAACACACTCCGCTGCAAATTGTTTGTTTTGAAGGATGTGTGGAAGAGAATGCTTCTCCGTGCAATCAAAACTGAGATAAAGACTGAGGAGACTGGGACTGGGAATCATATCTACTTGATCGGTGTGGATCACTTACACGGTGAGGTTTAGACCGAGGCCAAGGAGAGATTAGCTGGATTGGCTGTCTCCCCAGGCGTCTTAGATAAGATTCTCACACAAGAGGCAAGGATCAGATACGCGCCTTCATTTCTCATCTGCGATTTCAGTCTGAGGAGGAAGCGATCAATGATCAGATAACAAACTACGCAGCACCACCGGCCTGTGAATGTGCTCTCAGGGGCTGCCTCGGTATACGGTTCTTTGTTTGTCATTTAAAAATAACCAAGTGAGTGTGGGATCATTGTGGTTCTAACTTGGGCTGCACGATACATCATTTCAGTACAGTGATCACCGTTCATATCTATGCAGCCACTGTGTTTATGACTATATTGTTTACTAGAGCACATCGCAATATATATCGCGAAAATACAAATAGTATAATGTCAGTAGTATAAATCCATTTATTCCAAAGTTGTTGTTTGATTTTGTCATTGAAAATATTAATCACAAGGGATTTTTCTTCTCCAAACACGTGAACTGTACATGGGGCAGTGGTTAGCACTCAGCAGGAATAGCTAATGAATGCACTGATGGATATTTTTGGCCATGCTAGATGTGTGTTTAGGGAAGGCATTAGCGGTCTGTTTATGTGTTTACCACTTCGGCTCAGTACTGAAATATGTCATCAACATTCTTTAGCACCACAATGGCATTGTTGAACATCCTGAACACTGTTTGCTTCACATAATCCCAAGAGAATGCATTTGAATAACTTTGGTGATCCTGTATTTTTTTATTCTATCATCAGAATTATTTTCATTTGTCCAAAACTTTGGTTTAATACAAGATTCCTGCAAAACTAATGGCAGTCCCATCAACCTCAACTGTACTTTGTGTTTTGTGCTAATTAGCAAAGTTAGCATGCTAGCAACTCAACTAAGATGTTGAACCTGGTTAGTATTACTACATGTTTGCATTGTCACTTTGAGCATGTTAGCTTGCTGCTGTTAGCATTAAGCTCAAAGCACAACTGTGCCAATGAACGGCCTCGCTGAGCCGCGAGAGAGGCCGCGGACTCTCTGTCTTGTTTGCAGCCATCTAGTGTGGCTCGCTCTTAGAATTCAAACCCAACTAATTACTTCCACCCAACCTCCCCTCGCCTCAGCTCCAGCAAATCCTCTGCCTGACAAACACAGCAACAATATGAGTTTTCTCTCCTGTGAATGCCAAGTACCCAGAGCTGAATGGAAGCGTTTATTACCCTTTTTAATTATCAAATAGCGGGATGTCTCTGTGAATGCCATTTCCCTGTGAACAACTTCTCCCTTCAAGCAAAGTACAGAGTAATTAAAGCCAAGGAAACGGGTCGGGTCTGTACGCGAGATGCTCGCTCCCCACAGATGATGTGGTTTTGCGGTACTTGGCCGACGAGGTAAAAACCTGATGTGTGGAAATAAACTAGTCGATATGTATTACTTTTGTTTGTCTTAGAGGATCACACTTCCCCTCGGGGAGTAAATCAGTTGCTCTATGATTACATGGCTTGAATAGCTAGTGAGGTATCAATTTGGAAATAAAGTCGGACAAACAGCAGCAGTCATGGAATACAAATCTCCAGCACCAGCAAGCCTACTATTTCACCTCTGTGCTCTCCACTTTTGGCTGATTTCCAAGCTGAACTGTTTACTTATAAAATGGACCTCTTCACCGACACCCACACTCAGCTCTCCCACATTTCCTCCCCCCCCCCCCTCTCTCTCTCTGCTCTGCTGCACAGACCAGCCTCATGTATAGGCTAATCTCACCTCTGGCCACTCTTTTTTTTTTTTCTATTTCTGGGGAACTTTCTCAGGCAGAAAAGCTGACCAAAGGCACCTAAGAGAAAGTCTGTCAATACATTATTATTTTAGTAGCAAAGCGGAGGATATAAAACATTAGTGTATCCTCAAACTGGCATGTTTTTTCTACTGGCAGTTTTAGGAACCTGTGCCTTACTTTTACCGTAATCGTGCTCAATCACTGCTCGCCTGTAACTTCTCAATGCATACATTATCATGCCTCATGAATAGTTCAGTTCATTAGCTTTCATGCTTGATGTTCCACTTCCAGCGGCAGCGCATGGTGTACCATTCATCTCTTTTCCTTCCTCTCCTCTTCTGCCCTCCAGGTGACTGGAACCATGGGCAACATGAGGAGCGGCCTGCACCAGCACCTCGCCAGGCTGGACGAGATCTTCGCCACGCGGGGCGACTACGTGCAGACCCTGCAGTTCATGCAGCAGATGGCCGACAACGTGATCAAACAGCTGCTGGGCCTGCCTGACTGGGAGGAGGCTAAGGTGGACCTGGCATCCATCGCTGATCAAACAGCGAACATGGAGTACTACAGGTGAGGAGCAGAAAAATACATGTGTCGGACTTGTTCAGTGCAGGGTGGCCACGGAGCTCGGGTCATGATGCCACAGATGTGCAGGTTTCTGAAGAGATAACCCCTCAAAGAAAAAATGGAACACATCCAGATCTCAGAGGAAGACATTCAGGAAGTGAAGTGGAAATGTTGTTTACTGCTGCCATGAATATTTTTCAAGGGTTAAGTGCATCAAGAATTTTGAGGCAGTCACAAATCCCATCACACATGCATTTCAAAATGCAAATCATCAGAGAGATGTTTAATGAATATAGTTATTTATATCTTGGCAACAAGTCGCATCTTCATACACTGGTTTGTTTGGGAAAAGCCGCCTTAAAGGCGCGGTTCCCACACGATACTCGCGCTGAATGTGGGCCGCGACAATTTCGGTCAACCATACACACACACACTTCTTTGCGATGCGAATGTGCGTATTTTGTGTACGTGTAACCGAGGCGCTTATTGCAAATTACGCAAGACGAATACACGAGATTTCCGTCATTCATGTCATTAGAACATAACGCAGATGAGATTCTCTTGTCGTCACTGACGTCGTGACGTCGTTGAATTGGAAATTGAGGAAACGTTGTTGTAGCCGGTCGTGTGGGCACTTTAGAACTATTATTTCTATGATCATTTGTAAATAACACAAATTAATAAATAGATATATCTCCATCTTAGACATGCGAGATTCACTTTAGCTTACAATATCATGTCTCTTTTATGGCTGCAATCACTGAGCAACTTGTCAGTTGAACATGCAGTTGAATAGATAATTCATGTGTGGGTAGTTACTGTACATACTTTATGACCTTAATATATCACATGATATTTAGTGGATGGGATGAAACTTGGTGGTTGCACGCGTCTATAATCCATTCACGTGAATGTGGAGGAGCAGAGGCGGTGCTGGTGGGGCGTTTAAAAGTAGCAGAATCCAATGAAATGATTAGCAATCTTTGCATCAACACTACCAACCCTAATGAACAGCTCCAGTATGTTAAGGACTGTTATCCTGGGACGTGTCTCATTACAGATAAACTCACACTCTTATCTCAAAGCAGAAAGGAGCCCATTGCCAATTTTTTAGCCCTTGTGTAAGCTCGATGGGATTTATGTGCAGTCTGCAGTAACAGACAGGCTGGTGTGTTTGTATCGATCTGCAATGTGACTCCTCTCCTCGGCCGATAATTCAATGCCCCACATAGCTCCGCACTAATAGAGCAGAGCAACCGGGAGCAGACAGCCGGACACTGTAAGCTGTTAATAGACTCGTTATCACTGCCTCAGGCCCCCAACACATAGCTGTGGTCGGGCGTGCATGTGTGTGTCTGTGTGTGTGCGCGTCTGTGTTTGCATGTTTTTGATTTGACTCATCAAAGTTGGCTGTCTGTCTTCAACGTTCTCGTCCTTGAATATTTTGCTTACTCGTCGAACTTGCTCAAAGTGTCATCTTACTCAACTGAGAAACAAACAAAAAAAGACTCTTTTCTATTTTTATTCATTCTTTAATCAAACTTTCTCTCACTTTTTGACGTTGTCAACACGAGTAGATTTGTGATTTTTTTTTTTTTTTTTTTTTACTCCAGCTTTGCAGTGCTCAGGTATTTTAAGACGGGGGCTCTCAACCTTTTGTAACTTAAGGCACACTTCTAAATGTTAAAAAAATGTACTTGACAAAAAAAGGAGACCAATAAACTGGGCTGTAGATATTTGTTACGGCCGGTTCAAAGTGGTCGCGGACGCGGAAAAGTGCTGCCGGGGTTATTTCGGCTTCTATAGACCAATTGTGCTGCTCACTGGCCTCTGGTGAATCATTATCTAGCGTAAACAATATCAATTCTATATACGTGGTATAAATGATGTGATTTACATAAATGATGAAATATGCATCCCACGTACTTAACTTTCCTCCCCTCTCTCCCTGCGATTCCCCTCCCACATGATCAAACTTCAAAATCCATCCATTATATTTATTATATATAGCCCAGAGCACATATTTATCAGCCGTGTCTAAACAGTGACGAGCAGACACACACACACACACACACACACACACAGAATAAGATTTGCTAAATAAGGTTCTGCCTTAATGCGACAGTGCACTGGATTTTGCTTCTCGTTCCACTGAGCAGCAGCTTAGCTCTTGTAATGTGTTGTGTAGCACAGTGGAACCAACTATACCTGGGAAAGAAATCCTGCCAGCAAAAACTGATTATGTTTTTACTCTGTCTTTTGAAAATAAATAGATTTGTACATGCAGAATACAGTAAGTGTTTCAAATCAGTAATAAAAACTGTAAAATGTAATTTATGTTACATAGAAGTATGATGTCATTTTACGAGCTCATTAATGGGGTCCCTCTGTGAGTGTGCGCCCTGGGTCAGTTGGCCCCCTGCTATCCCATAAAACCCAGTATTGATAGACTGACCTCTGACCTCTCTGTGGTGAATAAAATGCCATTTTTATTATCGCTATCAACCTTTCAAACTGAAGACAGGCACATTTGGATCTGCTTCTTGATATGCAACACAATGTCTTGAAGACGTACTTTTCTATCGTACGTAAATCTAACCCCCGCGTCCCCATGCCTGTCTCTATGCTGCACTCAGTCTGACTCTAATTGGATTAAGACGACACAGACAAACACGGTGGCGGTGTCACCCGAGAGCCTCCGTGTGCACGTTGATGTCCCAGCCTCTCGTGCTGTTTACCACTACCAAGAGGGGGGAGGGGGGGGAGATGAAACGATGAAGAAATATCAAGGAGGTGGTGGCGAGGGAGAGACATGCAGGGGGAGAGAAAAGGGGTTGGAAGGCAGAGAGAGACGGAGGGGAGGGAGATTAAAGAGCGTGAAGAAGAGGAGGATAGAGGGGTGCATGCGGGTGAGTGATGAGGGAGGATATGGGAAGAAGGCCTAGTGCTGCTTGATGGAGGAATAAAAGGAAAAAAGACTGAACGAAGTGAGAATGATGTGGCGCTGATGGGTGCAGGAGGTATAATGGAAAAAGAGAGTAAGATGCACACTGATGAAGATGAAATGAGAAAAACAGGAGGTGACTTTAATTAGGTGTATCGATTGGTAAAGAGTGAAAAGGTGATATATAACTGCCCCTCCTCCCCCCCGTTTGTTTCACAGCATGACGCATTCAGCCATATGGATTTGAGTCCATCCATTATTAACCATCTGCACAGGCTTTCTGTGTGTCCGGTCCCAGACTGACCACTGCTCACATAACAGATGGGTACACTGAGGCGGGCAATACCGGACAGGATTACACCCTCAAGCATCAACTCTCTCTCACACACACACTCACACACACCTCAGATGACAGCATGTGTCTGTTGAGGTGAAAATAAGTGGGACTCTCTCCTGGTTGTATGAATAGAGCTGGAGAAAGCGTTGGAAGCGAGGCTCTCCAACGCTGTTGCAAAATGAAGTCAGATTGTGTAGAAGTCTGAGAAAACGACTCACTTGATTTATTACCTCAGTAAACATTGTAAACATGAGTTTATGGTCTCAGTCGCTAGTTTCAAGTCTTCTTCAATACAGCATGATGTTCATTTAGTAAATTTAGAGTAAAATAGACCATAAAGCGGAGTGTGTTTTAGGGCGGGGCTTACTGGGATTGACATGTCGCTGCCGCTACCAGAGGTGTATATGATTGTCTCTACGTCACTCCTGCGCATTCTAAATATGGTAACTTCTGTACACCGGTTGCAAAAAAACAACATGGCGACGGCGAAATCGGCAAACTTAAAATTATTTTTCTTTTTCAAGTCAAGATTTTGTCCTGGCATGCTGAAAGACTACCACTCAACACTGTTTGGATGCTGACTACAGAAAAACATACTTGAACAAGCAACACATTAGATTAATATTTTATTGTTTGTAGTTTCTAAAATTTTGTTTAAATTTTACAATGAATACAGTGGCATTGTTACTGATAGGGAATGATGGGAAAAACCGATACCAATAATACCCAGGTTACATGAAACCGTGATTCCCCCTTTAACAAAGCTCCTCTTACTTTGCCAAAACAAGCATTCAGCAGCAGCAGTTTGATTGTGTCTCTCTGTCTGTCTCTGCAGGTGGCTCACCTACCTGCTGCTCCTCATCCTGGACCTGATCATCTGCCTGCTGGCCTGTCTGGGGCTGGCCAAGCAGTCTCGCTGGCTGCTCACCACGTGAGTCTAATACGTCCTGTAAAACTGAGCCATTCACAGAGCCGAGAGCTGTTTCTATGTTTACAAAAGAAAAGAAGCAATGCTTTGGTTTTATGTGTGAATTTTCTAAAGGCAGGAGAGGGAAGGATGAATGAGAGAAGGAGTGGATTGGGAGACTAGCTGACTCCAGTAAACCCCAGCTAACTGGGAAACATTCATTTAGTTTTAGTCACATTTGTGCTGCAGCAGCTGCTACAGATTCCATTTGTCCAGATGTTACATTACATTATACACACATTGTATAATGCTCACTTCCCCAAGCACTAGATAATTTCTTGTACATTGTCTTAGCTAAAACCAGACCAAACTTATGTTTTCTTCCAGTTACTCCTCGATTTACTGAACTTCATAAAGGTATAAAAGACAAAGTGGATCTAAAAGTCAGAGAGTTTCTACCACCTTTGTGGCAGTTAAACACGCTCTCGTCCACATCTTGTTGTCCTGAAAAAACAGATATGATACGATTTAACAGAGAATGAGATGAGTAAGGACGAGTTGGTGTGGACGGAGGAAGGCGTTGCTTCACTTCTCGTGGGAAATCGCCCGTGAACGAGGCAGCAAAGTATTGGATCATGTCGCTGTGCAAACACTGCCCTGCGAGCCCTGGTGTATTTCACCATTTGCCTTTCAGCGGTGCCAGCGGTAGGTGGAACTCGCTCGGAGCGTTTGCTGCGTCATTAGCTTTGCTCTACAAATTGGATTTGAGAGCTGCGGAGAGACGGGAGCGAAGCCGTTTGATGTTATCAACAATATTACAACTTCCTGCAGATCGTTGTTCCGGTTTAACACTCGACCTGTTTTAAATGGCTTTCGACATGAATTAGATCCGATAACAGACGCAGCGTACTGCATCTCCTCACCCTTGTATGGCACGCCGTTACTTATTCAGCACTGTATTTTTAGACCTTTTTTTTTCAGATTAATATTTTATTGATTTTACCTTTTCATGAGTGACAAGAAAAATAAAAGCACATGCAGGGTTCATTAAAACATAACCAAACAATATAAGAAAAATGTAAATGATGATTATTGTTGTTAATGCATCAAAACATCCTCCAGCTAGAAAACAATAATATAATTAATATATTTTGTGTTTTTTGGAGGAGGCGGCAAGAAGTGCTGAAAATAAGTTTCAATGAAAACAGGATGTTGATACGACAGAATTATAAATAACACTCTCACACGTCATAATACATGTTACGCTGAAAAGTGATTTAAAACTACTGTAGAAACGGTGTATTTATATCACATGCAGTGCTTTCATTTAATCTCCTGACAGTATCTATAACTTAATTGTATCCTTCTCCTCTGGAATGGGATTTTTCTTTTTTTTTTCTCGCTGTAAAGGAGCTTTTCATGGGGCATGAAATCCACCCGGGCCCTCCACTCATCCAGCCCTCTCACTCCCAGTCACTCTGTCTCTCATAATCAGTCAGTTCAGGGTGTGAGCCGCATTAATCTCGCCCTACTAACCACAACCCCCCCCACACACACACTTCCCTCTTCCCAGCCCCTTTGCACACACAAGATGAGTCGGTGTCAAGAGTGTCTTCCTTCCCAATTGCATGCTCTCTTCCAGCAGAGTGGAAGTGGTTGGAGGCTGTCGAGAGCAGATTACACTCACGGGTCTGCCGACTCTTCCTGGTGCTTCTAACTGGCTGACTCTGTGTTAGCATGACACACAGTAACAGCTTAGAACAGAAGATGCCCCCACATGTGAGGGAGGAAGAGACGTCCGTTGACCTCGCTGTCAGCAGTTTACCACCATGGATTTCTTCCGGTTCTGCATGTAGCTGCTGAATTCTTTCAATTTGGGCACTGCAAACAAATTCCCATTCACCTGGGAACACAACGCAACATCGGTTGAGTGAAGTGAACCCTAAAATGTCATGATGTAAAACAGCGTAAGCCTATTTCCAGGTTTAATGTCATGGATTTGCAAGATTGCCCGTGCACCTCATGCACAGGAAAAATAAAGGAGAGTAGAAACTAATTTCCCTGGATGACAGAAATCATTTGAGCGAGGACGTACACCGAGAAGAATTGTCATGTAAACAGACAAAGCGAATGATTTGTATGCGCTGAAATTATAATGAAACACAATCGCGGCATTGAGAAGAAAGGAGAAGAAAAAAAGCCATTATTTACTGCCCGAAGGGAGCAAATGGAAATAGAAGTTCTGTGTGTAAAGTAATATACAGTTTTACAGAAATAGTTCAGGTGATCTCAAATGTCCAAAGCATGGGCGGACCATGAGACAACGGGTCTCTTGGCACAGACATGTATACGGCCCCTCCATGGGAGCACAACACACACACTTTAGAGTTGTTTGGCCTCTTTTTGTTGTCTTTGCACATTTTTGTAGTTTTATGTCTCCTTAAGTCTCTTTTGTAGTTGTTTTGCGCATCTGGCTAGTCATTTCACATCTCTCTGTAGTTCATCATTTTGTGTCTGTGTTGTCATTTCGCGTTTCTTTGTAGTTGCTTTTCGTCTCTTTGTGGTTGTTTTTCCCATTTTCATAGTTGTTTTGAGTCTTTGTGTCTCTTTGTAGTCGTTTAGAATCTGTTTGTCGTTTTATGTTTCTTAATGGTCATTTTGAGGCTCTTCTTGGTTGGTACGGGTCTCTTCGAGTTACTTTTTTTAGGTAGCCCGGAGGGGCCCTTGACACTTTAATGATGATTTATGATGGTGAATAGAGACCTGACTTCCTTGTATCCTTGTATAATCTAGGCATGACAGCAGTTTAGAGAAAAACAGCTGTGTTTGGTAATGCCTCCACGCCGGCCACAACACGATATCTCAGGAACGTCCACTTGAACTCAAGGATGAACTGATTAGAATTTGGTCATCAAGTCACTGTCACTTCACAAAACATGCTTTGGGCATGAATAAGAAGTCATATGCTAATATAAAGAGTATAAAAATGATGAAGTGATGACATTTTGGACAGACACGGACGTAAAGTGCAACATGACTGACTGGCGGAGGCCGACAACCGCGGGGCGGCATTTCGATGTTCAGTAAAGAAGAAAATATTCTTCCCACACTGATTTAATTCAGAGTGACTCGGCCTCGTGCGTTCGCTGTAGCATCATCTGCCCTGCTCATTTGCTTCTGTGAATTTTTAACTTGATGTGTTTTGCGTCAGGTTTACACCCGAACTCCTGCTGTTCTGTGGAGCTCAGTGAATCCCCTTTGACCACCAGAGCGCAAAAACTGAACGCAGTCTTGGTTTCCGACGACGTGGAAGAGGCAGTCAGAGGGCATTTCGCCCTTTTGCCCTGACAGCCAGTCTCATAGTTGGTCAAAGAAGCTCCCGCACTCCGATATCACTCAACAATAAACTGTCAAACGGGCAAAGCCTGGCCGATACATCCTGTTTAGTTTTTTATGAATTAGAGAGATGTCAGAAATACAAAACATCATTTTGTTTAACAGACTTTTTTTTTTCTTGCTCATCTTGTGATGCCTCAGATTCATCGTGGAGGGCACTAACTAACAGATGTGATCAGGTTTAGGAACCACTGCGATAGAGATGCAGCATGTGTGGACAGACACACTTGTGTATTGGTCTCAGAAAACAAAACTTCCCATGTGACCGTAGGCAGAGACAGACATTACTGCGGTAAAACCACGCTGAACCGCTCAGACAGTCGAAGCAACCTTTGCATCTGTCCTGCTTCCTGATTTTAAATCAAGATAAGGACGCGGATGTGACGCCTTGCTCTCCTTCCCATCTATCCCCTTGTGAGGAGTCGTGGCTCGGTATCGGAGAGGAGGAGGGGGGGGGGGGGACACTACAAGAGTGAGAAACTGATAAAGAGGGAGGCAGAAGGCTGAGAGAAGATAGGGGAGGCTGGGGCGAGGGAATAGAGAGTGTAAAGAAATGGTAGGGAAGAAAAAGATAAAGGATGAGTGAGAACAGAAGTGGTGTCTTGTAAATTCAGTGTTGAGAGCTCAGTATCTTCTCAGCACATTGAATTGGATTAGCCCGAGTGTTGAAAAATGAGTGGGTTCTGGACATGCATACTCAAATTATATTTAATCACAGGTGACATGCTGAAAGGGGAATATCTGGAAAGTGCCACAGTGGTGAAATCAACAGGAGCTTATTGGATTATTTCACATAACAATAGCTCAGTGTTCATCTTTAATGCGTATTGATCTTCTGTGCTGTTTCATACACAAAGACAGACCCATCGACGCTCCCCTGCATGCAGAAACGCTCACCTGAAACCCTCCCATCTCTCCCCCTTTACTGGCATATGTCTCTGATGTCATTTTGGGATACTGTGAGCTCATCAGGGAGGGAGCCCTCGGTAAAACAAAACCACATTTTTATGTCCTCGTGGGTGCAGGGAGTAGTCACCCTCCCAGGGGAGCGTAATCGAATGTAGGCCGGCGGAGCGGATACGCCATGCCTCGGTTCGTGAAACCGCTGTACGTTGAGGCTGCGGAATCGACCCCCACGAAAACATAACGTAGCCGATGACAGGACAATGACATCACCACTCCGGGTCCCCCGGGGCTCACGCTGTTTCCTTTCAGTGACAGAATCCATTATGTATATAGCTCTGTTCGCGTCACTGTACTCCCCCTGATGCTCTGCAAAATTCCACTTTTTTTGTTTTTGTTTTTGAGATTTTCCACTCATTAGTCATCTGTACCGCAACGTGTTAATTCTTCCTCTATTTCTGCTGCTGTTGAAATTGATATACTTTCCTTTATGGATCTCTGCAAGCAGGACTTTAATTTAGGACGCCTAGCCTTATATGGTATTCTGTAATTATGCTAATTTACAACTGTCAAGAACTTCCACTCATCTCTTTTCAGCGAAAAAGCTTTAACAAATACCAAGACAATTGACTACCTGCCCAATACCAATCAAATGCACCTAGCAGGTCAACATAGTGCGACATTTACCAGCTACAATGAGAGATGCCTTTTTGTTTGTGTAGAGCAAAATAGAGCTGAAAGAGAGTGGACTTCCATTCATTAGGTTGGACACAATCACGTCAAACGAATGCTCCTTATCTGTAAATAAGCATCTGTTTGCTAGCAAGTCCTGCATATTCACTTAAAAGATATGTCAGTGTTGTGTTTGCACCTTGTTTCTGCCTCCACCAATTGGCCAGAAAATCTATTATTGCAGGTTCAACTGACAAACATGAAGTACTCTCCCAATGATTTAATCAATACAAATGATTGGAACGAACTTACTGGAACAAGCGATTAAAATCATGAATTATTGTGTTATAATTGGACTAATTTAGAAAAAACAGTCTTTCCTTCATTTGGATAAATGCCGAGCCTTGCCAAGCCGTCATGTCCTTGTTGCCGTGGCTTCAGTTAACATGCATCCAGTGACTATTTTACCGTGACCTTGCTGTTGCTTTGTGTCCCTGCAGGATGATGGTGTTTGGAGTGCTGACGCTGGTCCTGAGCTGGACCTCTCTGGGAGCCGACCTGGCCACTGCTGTGGTAAGCTGCTCCGCCTCCTCGCCCCTGACTGATGCACTTACCCTAATGTGAACGAGCGTGAACCGGTCTGCAATCAATTCTTGTCATGGCTGACAGTGATGATGAATCCCTTTAACTACATGCACATCGCACTTGAGAAATGTCTTTTACTGTGTGTGGGTGAGGGAGGAGAGACGATTATATACACTGCTGCACATCTGCTTATACTGTATGTACCTGCACGTGTAGTATTAGCTGCATAGCTGCTGATGAAGGGTCTTTATAGCCTTCATTCTTCTTTTTTTTTTTTGCCTTCTCAGTAAAGAGAACTGACTGCCCCGATCTTCTTCTGAACTTTTGTCTCAGGTTTGTCTTTCTGTCACCTCGTACCTTTTGATCTCTTTCAAACGGCACGCTGCTGAAAATAGGCCCGACAAAAGAAGAAAATCCCAAAACACGAACCATGTCGGCATCATTATACAGTACAAGCCTGAATAACTTGAATCGAAGTCAAGGATTATGACAACAGGAATCCAATTGCGGCTTTTAAAGCCCATCGTGCTGAATAGGTGAATAATTTCAGTGTTTCGCTCCATTATCGTCCCCAAAATGACTGCGACCTAGAGGGCAAGAATTAGAGTGATATGCAGGAACACAGAGATGCATTTGAAAGAATATCAGATGGATGAGTGCTGGTGTTTGACTCACCTGCCTCAGGCAAGTGTGCTGTTTTTCTCAGGTTTGTTGTTGGGTGTTGAGTTTTGACTCGGGGCCATAGAGGATTTAACAAGAGTGAATTTAAGTTGGCGATAATGAGCATCGGGTGGAAAGCAGCAGGAGGTGCGATCAGCTGCAGCAAATTAGTCTCTGGTTTCATCTTCCTTTTAATCATCCGTCTCCTTTACAAGTCTCCACTCTCTGTGGTCAATATTTGCCAGACCGATAGTTGAAATCCTGGTGATGCCGGTGCTATGAAACCAAGACAGGCTGCACAATACAGAACTGCCAAAATCAAAAGTGTTTTTCTCTGGGTAACATGAATATCACGGTAAATGTCATGAGAATCCAGCATTACTTACCTACTATAAAAAATGTAGTTTGAGCGTAGCCCTCCATGAAAGCCTCCAATGTGAACGAATAGGAAAGGTTGCCTAGGAAGCAGCAGAGGAAATGTCAGAGAACGTCAGGAACATCTACAGCCATCTTTTACCAAAAAGCGAGGCCATCAAAATCATTGGAAATGATCATTGGGGGACCATAAATATCCAAACCAAAATCATAGCAATCCGAGCAGAAGTTATCGAGATATTTCACTCTCTACTAAAGTGAACTATTAGTGGACAGAAATCATTCTTACATGTTGTGCTGTCAGCGTGAGTCACAGATTCATGACATTTACGCCGGCCTGTTATGTAACCTGTCTGTAACAGGGCGTCTGTCTGAGGCTGACCCTGACTGGACTGTATGGTTGATGTCCACCGGGCCTTTTCTCCACTTTGAGAGCAAAACACCTCCGCTCAAAAAGGCCGCATAATTGCTCAGGCGTCGATACAAACAGCTGTGGAGAAAAAAGCAATTATATGAGCAATCTGCAGTGGCTCCATCGTCAGCCATCATGTCTTTGTGTGAATAATTGTGTTGCGTACGTGTGTGTCTTCTCTATTTTGTGTTAATGTGAGGGGTACAGACCTGTGTATGTGTGTGCGTTTGTCTAGGTTGAGTGTGTGCAACCTGCTTGCATGAAGGTTACACAGAAAGAGACAGAGAGTGTGTGTGTGTGTGTGTGTGTGTGTGTGTGTGTGTGTGTGTGTAAGTTCTGCAAGTTCTGCTCTGTGACTCAGCACAGTCTGCTCTGAATATGAATTACAGTTTTTTTGCCATACACATAATACTCTGTAGGGCTGTCAATTGTTTAATAATTTAGTCTCTAAAATGTGGGAAAATGTCCAAGGTTTTCAAAATAGCTTTTTTGTCCGACCTAGTCTAGATATTATATTTAAAATGATAGAGAAAAGTAGCAAATCCTCACTTTGCATGCAGTTAATTAATTGTAATTTTTTTCCATTGTAATAATTGATTAATGCACCAGTTGTTTTAGCCTTAGTACGTCCACTTCCTATAACGTCTGTGGGGTTTAATTCAGACTCTTGATGCCATTTCTGGGGGCTTTTAGGGGCTGCAGACTGTAGCCAACACTGGACAGGTCATCAGTCCGCTGCAGGGTTTAAAATGAACTGACATTCACGCCTATATGCAACTGTACATGTAAACTGGTTTAATGGTGTCGGCCTGTTGAGGGAAAGTGGTGTGTAAGCTGGGAGAGTATCCCAGCAGACGGTGGCCACTTAGCCATCGAATCTCCCCAAACATACTGCCGTCTGAAAATGTCTGAAAATCCCCGCGGCCTCCTCCACCCTGACTCAGAGTTGAACTTGTGAGAATGTACTCGCCGCTGCAGCCAGACTGCCGTGTCCCACTTTAAATGAGAACGAGTGTTGCTGCTGCGCTCTGATGATGTCGGACAGCTGACACAATCCAGAGAAAAACCCAGCGTGCCGGTGTGTGGCGCGTTGACGGTGCATTTGTTTGTCAGACTGTAGCCTGAGTGGCTACAGTCTGTGTTCACAGGTGTGCATGTCAGATGTTTTTGTGCTTGAGTGGTTGCCAATGTTTGTGTGCGCGCATAGGAATCTTTAAATTGTGTGTGTAGGCTGCAGTTAGTGCATAATGCATCAATGCATAATAAATGCAGCCCTTCGCAGAACTTTTAATTACATCATCTCTCAGAGAATCACTGGTTTCCCGTCAGGAATTCAAACAAACTGGCTCCCCTATTGCAGAGCTCCTTTTTCTTTACCCACTATTTCTAACAAACTAGCTCCAGTTTGCTGAGGAACTCTGCTCGCTGTATCTCAGCCCTCCGGAGAAGGTTAGGCTCCGCGCAGTGTGTTTGACCTGAGCCCGAGGGACATTTAACATTCAGACAGCGCAGTTCAGAGGAGACCTCCGCTCCTCACTTTCGTTATTTCGCCGAGGCGGGTTTCTTGTTAGCACTGTGCGGTGGAGTGAAAGTGCTCCGTGAGTGACAGAACCGAAAAGTATTCCTGTCTAGACGTGTTAAAGTGGATTATAAGAGCAGCCTGTCTTCTTTACTTTCCTGATAAGAATGATGTCAGCAAAACTTCATAGAACTATTAATGTAGTAATGTCAGAGTATTTGGCACTCTTCATTTCTTCTCTGAAATTTCTATCTTCAACCTCCTCATGTTACGGATGATTCATTCTTTTTAGCCATTTTCCGTGTCGCTGCTCTCACACGTCTCCTGTTTTTTTTTTGTTTTTTTTCAGGGCACAAGTGATTTCTGCGTAGCCCCAGACAAGTTCCTCTTGAGCCAGACAAAGGGCGTCATCGGCTCTGGTGAGTTTCAGTGTGAGTCATGTGGCGTTAATGGAGTTGTGATTACGAGAGCATGAAGCTGTGGCTGTGACACTAACTGCACTTCAGTGAAGTAAAAAATAAACCAGACGTATGATTAGTTTGTTTTTTTCACAGATATTGTTCATTACTACCTTTACTGCAACCAGACCCTCTCCAACCCCTTCCAGCAGGTAGGACACTGGAGGCTTTGCTGAATGTTGACTGATGAGGACTAGTGGAACATCAGCTCATAAAACGTCTACATGTTTAGGTTAAAACTGCTTAATGTAGTTGAAAAATGTCGTGGACATCTATTAGCGAGGCCAGTAGCTAACGCTGTAGTCATGTCATTGATATTATTTTTTAATATTCTACAGTAAAAAAATGTACACAGAAGGTATTTACAGGCCGACTGGAGTATGTTTAGACTCAATTTACTTAAATTTGACTTTTTATGCCAACAAAATAATCCCACAGTGGGCTAGTGATGGGTATCGGTGTCTGAGTCTTAATTTTGGGGAATACAGATACCGTTTTGATCCCTTGCTTTTGCATTTACTGTATGTAAATGTGGAGCAGGACCTCACTACGTACTGAAATATAATCATTGAAATGATGATGCAGAGGTGGGTTTATGTAACCTAGAGGTTTCAACATAACTGTATAAACAGATTTTGACCTGCAATTCACTAAATGAGTGCTGGATGAGGAGTTAATTTCTTCTTTCTCTATATATCCAGTCCTGTCTGTCTGATTTACATCCTAACTTCACCTCACAAGTCTGCATCACAAGCCTCCAAACACTTCCTGAATCGGCTGTCACCTCCATCCTTCTCTCTCTCTCCTGTATTTCTTCAGTCAAGGAAACAAAACATGCCAAAATGTTGCAAAAGCTCCGAAAAACAAAGGCTTTTGAATGTGCGACAGTTTGGTTAATCCTCCTCTCCCCCTTCTCTTCTGAGGGGTCTGTGAGGTTTGCTCTCTGGAGAAGCAGAGGTAGATGTTACGGGTCACCTCACTGGCCTCAGCGCTGACATCAGTCAGTGGCAAAGTCAATTTGTGCGAGCTCAGATCTTATTATCTGGCTCGGCTAGACCTGCCCCGAGGATAACAAGAGCGCAGCAGCAGAGGGCAGACAGCCGTCACCCCGCCTGGTAAACAAAGTCGGCGCTCTTCTTCTCTGCCACACAGATACCCAACAGGTGCAAAGTTCGCCAGCGAGCTGCCAGATGCATGAATTCACTTTCACTTTGGCAAACAAAACAAGCTCTCCCTCTCTGTCTCTTTCTCCCTCATGTGTCTCTCTCTCATGTATTCTCAGTCTGAACTGCAGCACTGCCCCGCAGTTCCACGCTCCGCGCTCCCTTGTGCTTCAGCGCTGCGGGGCATCTCTCCTGCGTCAGCTCTGCTTCTTACCGCAGCTCTTATTCTATTCTCATCAGCATCATCTATTGCTTCTTTTCTCTCCGTCCTCCTCCATCCACTTTCTCTCCATCCTATTGTTATTTTACTTTATTTGGTCGAGAACAAGCTGAAAGCCAAAATGCGATCAGGCTTTAGATTGTGCTGCAGAGAGCAGTTTTGACCACGGACAGATCCAGAGGAAAAAACTGCCAGATCATAGGAAAGCAATTACATTAATGAATGGTTGAGGTAATTGACCATATCCTGTTTCAATTTTAATATTGTGCCACATGCCAGGGGGTTTCCAGGCTGCTTTTCTTAGGTTGGGTGACTGTGAAGGTAGAGTTTTACTTTGGAGATGTGACAGATTAATTAATTTATGGCCGCGTGTAATTTAAAAAGAGGCATTGAGCAGAAGGTGCTGTCTTTCAGGTGGCTTGAGATTATCCACTTATTGTATTGTACTGAATGTGGAGGTTTATTTTGCCCCCTGTTGGTGGGAACATAAACCTACACCACAAAGACTTGAATGTTGTAAGATAGTAAAAGGATATTTTATATATATTCATTACAAAGTCATGACATAATAATATATTTGGTCAAAAGACTAAATTGACAATTTCCACTTACCTTTTTATGGCCCTCTGTTGTATTTGCACGCTCTTTACTCTGCGTGCGTTCAAACACACTTTCTTGTTTGCAGCCTCTGACCATCTTCCAGAGGTCCCTGACCACCATGCAGATCCAGATCCAGGGTCTGCTGCAGTTCGCCGTGCCTCTGTTTCCCACAGCTGAGGTATCGTCACGCAACACAAACACCCGGCTGTGACTTTCACGCTGGAGCACAACCGAGTTTGATACTTGTCTGTCTGGTGACCTCCCCACAGAGAGACCTACTGGGCATCCAGCATGTGCTCAACTCTTCGGAGGCCAGCCTGCACCAGCTGACCGCCCTGTTGGACTGCAGGGGGCTCAACAAGGTTCGTTCACTGCATCCTAATTGGCATCACAGCAGCACAACTAGGTCATCGGGAGACTGAAAGCGGAACCGGGGACGGAGCAGAGCAATGCGGAGCGGAAAGAATTTCAGATTTATTGGGAATACCTTTTCTAAACGGTGTTTTCCTACTAACGTGTGTGCACTGTTAAACCTGTGCAGCGTGGCTCATGACTGCACAGCAGGTTGCACGAACAATGCCTTCCTTTTTGTCTGTCATATTATTTGTTTGACCTCTTCAGGACTACCTGGACGCAATGGTGGGGGTGTGCTATGACGGGGTGGAGGGCGTCCTCTACCTCTGCCTCTTCTCCACCCTGGCAGCCTGTGCCTTCACTGTCATGCTGTGTGCCATTCCCAGGGCATGGAGACAAATTGCATGCAGGTCAGTTCGCTCTCTGCTTCTCTGCCCGAGCGCCCTCATTTCCCCAGGCTGCAGCCATTTCTATGCAGCTTCCCCCTACTGAGCTAACCAGTACGAGGATCCAAGGATCATTTATTGTCATTATGCCACACAGGGATGCACAGCGAAATTCAGATGTAGCCCGTATTCAACACAACAAACGCAAAATAAAAGCAGTAGTACATGCCTTATGATGCAAATTCAAAAAACGCACTACAAGGAATGTAAACAGCAGCAACAAAAACAATTCTCTGGGCAAATAATACGGCCGACATCTTCCTATTATTAATGAAACATGAGAGAAAAAAACATTGTCTGTGTTTGAGCACCAAGTGTCTGTGTGTGTGTGAATATTCTGTACAACTGCTACAGATACAACTTCAATTGTGAGCGCAAGGTGTTAATGATAAGCTACTTCTTCAAGTAGCGTATCATTCAGTGGCATTAATCTATGTTCACTGTGTGTTTCCTTCACGTAAACGCTTCTGTCACTTTGCAGTCTGACACTGATGACTGATTCTGCAACCCTTATCAGTCGTTTCACAGTTGCCCTGATGGCTAACGGCACGGTCAGCATTAGCTTTGAGCCGAAACGGGCATGATATCCTGTGAGAGTAGTAGTATACACTGTAAGTTCCACTGAATTTAATAATATGCGTCATGTCTGTAGTTCAGATTTGACTGATAACTGAGGAAGTAGTTTAAGTACCTTAATTGTCTCCATGAGCTGTGCGTCACAGCCTCTGCTGCTGCTACTACTCACCATGTTGACTAGCAGCCAAATCAACGGCCAAACTATAACAATTAACTTCACCAGCATGCCCCGGCCCCCCTTTTTACCTCACACCGTATATCTCTGCCTCACGTCTCTCCCTCCGGCAACACCTCACAGTTTGAAAACCTCCTCTCTTCCTCCTCTAGGGAACGAGATTATGACGACATCGACGAGGAGGATCCATTCAACCCGCGGGCGAGGAGGATGGCCTCTGAGAACCCCAACCTCACCAACATGCACAGCTTCTGCAGCTACAGCAGCAGCATGGGCAGCCAGAACAGCCTTCACCCGCCCGCCCCGGCTGTCTCCAACGCCCCCGTGTCGGAGTACATGTGAGTGAAGCGGGAGTGACGTGTGGAAGCAAACTTCTAAAGTTCTTCATTTCCTCTGAGCCGCTTCTTTCGCTCTCTTTCTCAGGAACCAGGCGGCTCTGTTCGGGGGAAACCCGCGGTACGAGAACGTCCCTCTGATAGGACGAGGCTCTCCACCCCCCTCGGTGCGTTGGGTCCCAGAGGCCAAGTCCTTCCTATGATGTCACTTCCTTCTTACCTAACAGACAGATTTAGCCTTCAAAGCTCAGGAAATTGTTTTATTAGAAGTAACTGCTGGTAATTTCATTCATATTTTGACTGGGCTCACTTGCTCGCGCAAATGTTAAGCCATATCTAATAACCTTAATTGAATCAACTTTTAAAAAATTATTTCTTCATTTAACGGGATACTCTTTCGTGCCTTCCTCTGCCCTCCATAACTCACTGAGGCTGACTTACATTACCAGTGCAAGGAGAGGAGACGTAATGTGGTTAATATTTAATATGTAATCATGAAGTGAACATCATTTAGCCTTTCTCAGGCCAAATTGCCAGGAGGGAGAGATCCAGGTCTTAAACCATAAACTCACTCGCTGTTGACACTAAAGCTTTTATTTCCTCGTTGAATTAATTCCCCCCTCGCTGGGCCACTTGTCTCCTGTTACTCTACATCACAGGGATAAAAATAGAAACATTCTGGATTCAATTTTCACTGGGCAGAGCCTCTTATTAACATGCTGTACGAGTGTGAGATGAAATGCAGCAGTTAAATGCATTCTCCAGGTATTGAATCGACTTTAGAGCAGTGTTTTCTATTAAACAACATTGTTGACATTGTTGTGATCACCAGGTCAGGAAGTACAAAATAAATTCATATTTTATTTTTGATAAATTGCATGGTATTTGTTGTTGAATGTAGAGGTTTATATTTCACAAATATGTAACAAAGTTGAATACATTTTGTACTTTTGATGTTGTGTATTACCACAGTTTTATTATGGTATTTATTACAGTTTGTAGATGAAGAAAATGATTTTGTTAATGTCATAACTTTCATTGACCTATAGTTCCAACATGATGTAATTCTATGATGTAATTCTTTCCTAATGAATGCCAGCAAGTGATGTATAATGATCTTCTCCTCATGACTTCAAATGTGCAGCTTCATGCAGTAGTCTGCGGCTAACAGCTTCTTTTATATATTTTTTGTCTGTCCGTTTGTCATGTGTATGTTTGTATCTTTCATTTCTATATTTCCTCTTTTTTTGTTTTACTCAACTTTTGGAGATATACTCCCAGCAGTATAGGAACCGAGTAAGTCTTTTCAACTCTTCCTCTGGGTTAACTCACTCACTTTTACCTCTGTTGCATCTTTTCCTTCACCTCACATCACTTCGTTTGTTTCCTGTGCAGTTTTCCTGTTCGGCATGGCTTTTTCAAACTCACAACCTGTCGTCCTCATTCTCAGAGAGTCTGTTTGAGTCAGTGAGGGCGTGTCTGCCCCCTGGCGTTCACGGGGTGCTGGGCAGTCACGTCCCTGGGTTTCCTCACAGTTAGCCTCCCTGTGCATGCAGTTCTGCTCCACTCATTCAATTCTACAGCTTGCACTGCCGCAAGGTGTTCTGCACCAGTCGTAGTGTACTGCTATAGAATTTATTTTATCTGGGTATTGACAGATTAAAAAACGACGCTACTGTTAATGTCAAAGTGATTGACGTGTTAGTAATTGTACAAAGTGTAAATTACATTGGTTTTCTTTGCCATGAGTCAGTTTTGTAGGTATGAGTTAAAGGAGTACTCCGCAGAAAAATCTCTCTTTTGAGCGTAGAACATTCTCATTCCTGTAGGCTTGAAGGTGGCTCTGAAATGTTTGTGACGTGCTTCTTTGTGGAAGATGACTAGACTCCCAGCGGTTACGACGGATTCCAAAAGGCAGCCCAAAGTTGTGTGAAAATGTGTCAAAATGTCCTTAGAAACTTCTGAAACCACTCCTGTGAGCCGTGAATTTAAGTCCACATCCTGCTTGCTTCAGTATAAGGTCAACGGCAGAGAGGTGGATGATGCTGCAGCAGTAACGGGGACAAGCAAACAAGTCCAGAGGGGCACAACCAGACAGGCGGAAGGCAGACAGTGGGGAAAAAACAAAACAACAAGAACAAAAAAGGCTAAACATAGTGTAGTACTCGGTGGGTGAAGGTCAGATACTATAAACCTGCCCTTTAGCCAGTGGCTGATGAGTAAATCGGGAGCATTGGTGCAGGTGGGTGTGGGGGTCAGGTGGTGAAAGCTGGTGAGAGCATATCTGGAACACCTGCTGGAATAGCCGGATCTGAAATGGCAGGAAATATTAAAGGAATGGCTCGGCATTTTGGGAAAACTGTTTGCTTTCTTGCCAAGAGTTGATGAGATCCATACCGCCCTCAAATCTGCATCATGCAAATTTGCATTCTGCAAAAGATGGAGCTATAGCACACAGTTAGCTTATAAGACAAGGGGAACAGCTAGCATGGCTGTGTCCGAAGTAGCATGTGTTGTCATTTATTGGTGAAATGACAACACTGCCATAGTCTGGGCCGCCACTTCAATCCATCGAAACTTCTGCGTATCCAAGCTGACTACACCTGCTAAGCCTCACTCTTTACAGTCACCTTTCAATCCTACACGTGGTGAGAAATTGATGGTTTTCAGTGGACTATTCCTTTAAATCCTCATGGCATTTTATTTCTTATTAGCTGATGATTAGGTTCAGTTTGTGAAACCTCACCCTGACCTCGTAGAATCAGCTCGTAACATCCTCCGTGTGTGTCTGTGTGTTTGTGTGTGTGTGTGTGTTTGCCTTTTTCCTCCACAGTACTCACCCAGCATGCGGGCCACCTATCTGTCCATGACGGAGGAACAGATTAGACACTTTGGGAACGACTTCCAAGCATAGACTTCTTTATCTGACCGAGGACGGAAACAGCATCACACACTCACACACACTCTGCAGACAAACAGTGTGTGGCCACTCCAAGCATCCCAGAGGGGCAGTGTGTGACATCTCATCAGTCCAGGACTCCGAGGTCTGTGCGGTGTTGGGACAGTAGAACCATATCGGTGGTATATTTTGGAGGGAACTTGCTAAATATTCCTGACACGTGCTGTCGAACTTAACCTGCTGTTGATACGTTGTGTTCGTCATGCTGTGTCCTCTATTGGGGAGGCATTGAGGGAAGATCTGTCTTTATATACCTGAGGATTCATTCCTCACTGCAGTAAAACATAGCAAAGTGTTCACTATAAAGTAAGAAAACAACCTGACAATTAAATAAGAATTCATCCTTCCCTCCCTTTTTTATTACATTACGAAACTTACATTCAGGTCTCCAAAGAGAAAAATGTGAACATGACAGCTGATGTAAACATACTATTTGATATGTATTGCGCTTCGTCCTTGGTATTTGTGAAGCACAAACGCAGCACTGGCAGCACACAGCGGGAGGTATTGTTGAGGTATTTATTTACATTCCCACACAGACACGCCTGCAAGTGAAGCTTTATGTTTCTCAAATCTCCTGGAGACGAGACTACCTTGAGACCACGGCTTTTGTATATATATATATATATATTGTACAATAACAGACAGTTGTCTCATTCGGATGTGGTTTATTTTGATTTTGTTTAAACAATGTGCCAATTTTATATATTTTTTTTCTAGTTTTATGTGGCGATCTCACATAGGATCACTATTTTTTTGTACTTTCTAAAGAGCCATTAATTCATGTTCTCTACATATCTAATCCCGCTAATAAAGTTGCAGTTTATCTCATAACTTGGGAAGCCGTGCTGCAATGATGAATGAGAATATTGAGGTAATTATTTTCAGCAATTCAAACCATCCAAACAATACATGTTTGTATTGCCTAACAATGGTTTTCTGTGGGGATTAAATACTTCATTCTTCATTCTTTTTAAGCAGTGTCATTTCTTTAAGCATGTTGCATTGTACAGGCACTGAACATGGTGCTTAATTTTGTGTGACCCCAAAAATATGGGGTGTAACTGTGAGTTGAATAAATCTGTTTTCAGTACAACTTGATTGTTGTTGGGTGTTGATGTCCTTTGTGATCTACCCAAACAAAGGGTCCTCTAAGTCTTGTGGGCAGGATGAAGAATTTTATTCTTCCAGCAGATGTCAGCATAGTGGAGCAAAAAAGTACAGCTCAGTGGACACTTCATTAACTCCTTGTTGGAACTGCTAAGAGTATAGCACGATACTTTGAGGTTAACTTTAAAGAAGATAAATGAACACAAAATGTATATATGTTCGCGTCTGCTTTGACAGAAGTATTAAGTATTTATTTTACATTAGTAAACAAAAGTTATACTACACTACAACATAGTCTGTTTCAAGTAAAAGTCCGAACTACATTTAATAGTCTTACTCAAGTAAAAATACACAATTAAAAATATACTTAGGCGTCTCTTATTTTCGGAACTTAAAGTACCAAAAGATAAAAGTAGTACTCATACAAAATAGCTAATTTCCGAAAAATAAATAAACATAAATAAAAGTATATAAATAATATATAATTACAATAAGTAGAGTTTCAGCTTTACACTAACATTACCATGTTACGTAATCTATAGCAATACATCATTATTTATTAACTTATTTATTATTTGTAATAAAAATCGACATAGTAACTTAAGCTGCGTTATTAGAGTGGCGTAGAAGTAGGCTATTAAGCATACAAATGGAAAAACCCAAGTAGCATATAGTAAGTTACCTCAACATTGTATATTAGTACAGTACTTGAGTAAATGCACTTAAATCCCCCCACTGTGCATCTATGAAAGAACAAAATAATGATATTGGAAAATCCAGGTTTTATGTTTATAATCGTAAATTTGTTGGCGTTGTTTATCTCGCTTTAACTGGAGTCAGCTCGGATAGAACACCGGTGTTCCGCGGAATCTCCAGGGACGACGACGCACATGTGCGTACACACACATAGCAACCCGCGGCAGCGGAGCGAGGGACAGACGAGGAAGTGACTGTAGCAGGTGGGCAGATACCGGTGTTACCACCACCACCACCATCACCAGCTCTTCGTCTGATACATTATTCCCGTGTTTCCAACCTGCGCGAGTTACGCACAGGACGCGCAGGACGAGGTTGGCTGACCGTCGACGCACTTTAAAAAGACGGAAGAAAGAAACAAAGGGGAGACAAACGTGAATAGCTGACAGTGAGACGAGAGAGAGGTCGTTAAGTGAGCACGACGTGAGGTCGCTTAGCTCCGTGGTCGCTGTTGTCAGAGACCATTACACCAGCTGCAGAGTCCATTAAAGCGGCTTGTTGACTGTGAGAGCGCAGGGCTGCAGGTGTTTTTCTTCTTCAGAGGAGTTAACATGCAGGTACGGACAGTGAGGAGGAGGATGGTCCAGTGTCCCGTCTGTTGACTCTCTTTACCCTTCACTCTGTGACCATGAAGGACACGGGGGAGTCAAAGGAACACCAACTAACTGTGAGTTCAAACTACACCTATAACCTTTTTAAATGTTGCTTTTTTTTATTTAACAGTGGCCACTTTATTAGGCGCATCTGTACAATCTGCAATCCAAATGCAGTTTTTTCCTTAACGTTTGTGATGCCTGTACGGTCCAGTTTGTGTTGACAGTCTGAAATGTTCTTGTTGATGGTCCTAGTTAAAGGTGGCGTTACATCTCACGAACTGTTTGTCCGGCCTATTTACGTTCAAGAGGGAAAACACGAAGACAATGGGTCTTTGTGGTCATCACATACAGGTGGTTTGGATCTTTCAGGTGTAGTGTGCTTTTTACAATTTTGTAAAGGGCTCACTGCATGGGTGGAATACGTTTGAAAAGCAAATGCCTTTATTTTATATTTACCTTTATTTAATTATTGCCCAATGCACAAACCCTTCAGTGTGCCTTGTATTATTTTGCATTTTATACTTTTTTGAAATCCTATTCCACCTATGCAATGAGCCCTCTATGACAGCCTAAAAAAACCCAAACCTGCACAGTCTGCAGGCTTTGGACTGCATCACATTGTACCTGGAAAAAGTCAGTTTTTTTATTTATTTTGTTTTTACAATAACTAGATCTTTCTTTTTATATTCCTAACAACATCCATTGTTGGTGTTATGCTTTCGATTCGCCGGCCTTACAAGACCTGCACCATGTTCTGCAGCTCATATCTGAATAATTGAAGTGGCTGTTTCAGTTGCCTGACCTCTCCCTTGTCCAGCGTGTAATACGCTTTCTACAGGGTGCTGACAGACAGCGCTGTGTTATTACCCTTTGCATTCCCCCTTTTAACTGCGTCTGTCTGAGGCTGGGATTGTTATTGACTTTTTTCATCGTATTTGCTCCTATCAGAAGCTTTCTTATTGATCTCTGAATGTTGTCATGGAAAGAAACCATGCAGGGAGATAAAGTGTAAAAATAAGGAGGCCGTGCATGAGTGTATTGATGTAATAATAATACAATGTTCCTCTTAATTGGTGGTTTTGTATCTGCCAAATACTACCCAGTGTTTAAAGAGGGAAGGCTAATATTCCCTCTGTAACTACAGGTGTTTGTTTGATTATTGCAAAATGCCATCGCTCCGATTAGTTTCTGAGACATTGACATTAATCGGGCTGTGAAGTGGTTAAATGTGGAATCTGGAGTTTAATTGGATAGTCAATCCGTTCATACATCTGTTTCCTACACCTATTTATCACATCACCAGTCCACACACATACAGTCACGCACATTCATACTCATTGTAAGTCGCTTTGGATTAAAGCGTCTGCTAAATGACTGTAATGTCATTGCATTTAAACAATTTAGTTAGCGTAGGTTTGAGCACAGGACCCTCTAAATGAGAGTATTCTTTATTATCTGGTTGACTGTGGGGGAAAAAAGATATCTTACATCCTGTGCTTGACATTTAAAAGATTACTCCTGTAATTTTTCTATTGCACTTTCATAAATTCGGGCAAATCTGGAGAGATTTCTTTTTCCTATTTTTCTTAAATAATCATAACTCCAAATCGATGAGGACATCTAGACTTTTAGTCCTCACTCTTTGGTCAAGCTTTGATAAGCCTACACCTTCAGGCTATCTCCGTCCGGTTATTTGTCCACATATTTCAAGTTCTACATCCCCTTAATTGTAGTACATTTAATGGTCTAAAATCTCAAAGATAATCTGGATGTACTCTTCAAAGGTTATTTCCTTAAACTGAAAACATTATTTACCTGGCATCACAACTAATACACTGATCAACATTGATGGAGTTATATTCACATGTATGCTGCTACTGATGAATGAACCCAGATTTTCTCCTATACCACACTCCCTTACTAAGTCGAATAAGTACTCTCAGCTCATTTGCATATTCAATTACACCTCTAGCTCCACCTGAATCAACACAGAGTCCAGGCACATATATTGGAGAAGCAAGTACTATTGTGTGCCGTCAATAATGTTCCTACGCATCAAGGCAAAGTCCAAATCATTTTTTTTTAAACTTACATTTTCTGTATATTGAATATTTCTGTCTTGATTGAATTGAAAGAGGAGTCAAATTCCCTCTCTGTGCCGCAGGTTGCCTTGAGGATCCGGCCCCTCAGCGATGCTGAGCAGGAGGAGGCGGCTACGATCGTGGCCCACAGAGTGGACGACCAGGTGAGAGGGCCGTCCTTTATTCTACTGCTGTGTGTGTGTGTGTGTGTGTGTGTGTGTGTCAGTAACCTGTTTACCTCTGTGTGCATACAGTATGCAATGCACGTGAGTGTGTGTGATGGGGTCAGTGTGTGTGTGTGCTGTTGTCTCTGTTTCAGAACCCTCTGCCTGCCTGTGATCAGGCTGCACAGATAAGGTATCTGCAGGGACCTCTGTAATGCCAACAGCTCTTTTTGAAAACAACTCATTTGTAAAGCTCAAATGTCACATTTCATTTACAACTGGATGCTGGATGACTCACACCCGTAGCAAAGAGCGTGACCTTTTCTAACGACTCAGATTTTTTCGTAAGCATGCGGCTGAATGCTTCGCCATAGTGAGCGCCCGGGGTTTAATTGGACATCAACCACTGCAGAGCTGTACTTGCATAAGTCATTGGGATTGATGGTAGGTCAGTCTCCTTGTGTTTGTTTGACTTGAATGACAACAAAGAGTTACAAACAAGGGCAAGCAGTCGTCATCTCTTTGATGGATTCATCTCAGTTATGGAGTAATTCCAGTCAGTCAGTCAGTTCGTTGTTTGAAAGAGTACTTCATCAATGTCGCCCTTTCATAACACTGCCAGACTCACAATGGACGGTTCAAGAATACAGAAATGAAAGAACAAAAATCAATGCAGCAAAACCAGATTGATCTTCACATTACCCACAATGCAACGTGAACAACAAGAGTTCCGTTATTATAGTGACAGCTAATGTAGTCTCAAGTAGAGATGAGTAGCAGCTACAAGGGTCTGGTAAGCTCACTTCCTACTAATACTACACCCCCACATTTATATTTTCATCTTTCAAACTACTCTTCTGCCCAAACTGACAATTTATCAGACTCAACACAGCTCCCTTCTGGAGCCACTAACGGCTTTACACAACTTGTGTTCACATCCCCAAGACCTGTTAACGGACTTTAATGTGTGAAACCACTTTCTTTTTTAAATGCTTATTCTTTGCTATTTTTTAACGTTCTATTGGCCAAGCGATCAATCAAGTAATCAAGTAAATATTCAATAGATTAATAGATAATGAGAGTAGTATATCAGACATTTCAGTGTACAGTATATTTCAATCACCTAGCATGTTGACATGTGGAAGAAGGTAATAATGACTAAATTAGGCCTGACTGTTCACTGTATTCCCAACAGTCTTGTTTTGTGTTCATCTCTACTCAATACGAGCTGGCTGTCTAATTTATTTGGCAAGTAAACTGCTTTGAATAGAGCCATTGTGCTGATTGTGTTTTCCATTAGAGTAAGCCGTGAGAGGAATGTTTGTGCACAAAGAGAATGTAGATTGGTTATGATGGCCACAGTCCTACACCAGCAGTAGAAGGCTGTCTTACAGATATATGAATTACAACAGAGACACGGATTTATCTAATCCAACAATGAAAAAATAAAATAAACAAATAGGATTGCTGTCCCTGAGAGGATCTCGTCCTTGGAGCGCCACCACTGTGCACAGCATGTAATGAGGTTGTTACCATGTGACCATATGAGAGGGACATACGAACTCCACGAGGACCGTGTTTACCAGCAGCCCTGGCTGTTGAACGGGGCCCCTCTTGGAGACCGTTTAGCAGCGCTAACAGTGTGAGTGTGTGATTATGATGATGATGATCAGGGAGCCTGCTGAGGTGTCTCTCCGCTCCGTGTGGGCTGATTGCGATGGTAGTGGGCGTGCAGGTGGTGGGCAGACGAATCCAGAGAAGTAACAGCGTAGCAACAGCTGACATGGTGGCTCACTTTTGCCTTGGTGTAACAGTGCATTCTATTCATGATTAGTAGGGGCTGTATCAAGCTCTTGAAAGATTGTACAAGAGCACACTTCTAGAAACCCATAATCCACGGCGCTGAGGCCGGACTTGTTTGTCTTCTCGGAAGTAATTGAATTACCCCAGGTCTTAAGGACAACATCAGCACTTCTGTCTGCCGTGACATCATTAAAACAGGCTTAGACACATGGGGATTAGAGCAGGTGGGAATGGTGCTGACACAGCCAACATAACACGGCTTTGTTATTGTCTCCAGCACAACCGAATCTCAGCGAGAAAAGAAACACGTTTTATTGTGTGTCTCCTGTTTACCTGCAGTGTGTTGATTTTATACCCGAATAGCATAGTTCATAATGTATTATGTCTGTGGAGAGAACTGACAGATATGCTGTATGGTCTCTATGGGGTCGTATCAGGTCCACTCACGTTCACCGCTAAAGATTAGCGGAGATTACAATATACACACTTGTTATTGAGACAGTGTCTTGACAAAGTCTTACCTGGGCTGCTCTGACATGAATGGAGGGGATATAGTAGTGAGGAAGCAACAACAACACAGGCATGTTGTGAGACTTTAGACTACTAGAAGGCTGAATCTGTTTACCTGTAGCCGTCACACACGAATACATGCAGATATGTACTGTTACTACGATACCTTCCACGTGCCGTCTCTCCACAAATACACACCACTGTGCACTGTTAACTTTGTTTGCGAGGCATATGGCCTACATGTAGTGCTCAGACAGATTAGCAGGGCGCTCGTGGCTCACTGGTACGACGAGCGGGTGAGAGTACCCAGATCTGGCTCTCCTGGCAGAAAACGGGCAACTTGAAGCTGACTAAGCCTGCAGAGATGAGCTCATCGGATGGGTTTTAGCTCAGGTTAAGCCTTCTGCCACCTGCTCTCTCTCTCTCTCTGTCTCTCTCTCTCTGTCTCGCTCTCTCTCTCTCTCTCTCTGTCTCTCTCTCCCTCACTGACAGACTCGGGGGATCCAGCCTCTGCCTTTCATGGACCACCTGTTATGCTCAAAGGGCTTTTCTCATCCTTGAGTGAGTAGCACACAGCTCAGAGGTGGATTTACGAACGAGATATTAAACGGCTCAGGTTGAACTATGTTTTTATGCAGTCAAGGTCATAATATTATTTAAAGAAAAGAGTGGCAGGCACACTGTAGGAAAATGGCTTTTATTCCAAACTGTATACAAGATACAAGTTGGCTTTGCTGTATCTAAGCAGCAAAGCATGGTGCTGGTGGATTTCTGTCTTGGGAACTGATGGAGGAAATAGCTTGATTTCAAAAGAAGGAAAAGTGACTAATTAAAAAATGACAAGTGTAATGTAGGAACGGATTCATTTTGGCAGGAGATGAAGCGTCCTGGCCGGCTTTATAAAGACAGGGATATTAAGAAACCAGCCCAACCAGTGTTGAAAATGACAACAATGGAGACCAGATTTTATGTTGAAGAGGAGAAACATGTTCTTTAGATTAGAAACAGACTTATGTGTGTTTTGAAAAAGCCTGTTTGGTCATTATTACCAGTATGCGTTGGTCCCTCTATTCATGATTTGTAGTTAATGAGCCAAATATTGAAACCCACCAGTATGGTCCTTCAATAGCACCAGTAGCCTTCGTCGGACATCGTGCTCCGTCCCAGCTTGGACTAAAAGACCCAAAGAGGTGATGTCACCCCTCCTTAAGAGGCTAACGGAGAATCTATGTTTATCCCCTAAGGGATAAAAATGGTCGCTCAGCCTCGTGAAAGAGAGACGCGAGAGGATCAATTCATATCACTATGCTGAATTCACTCTACTTGTTGTGGCCTTGGAGGCAGTACATGTACTTGTAAAGGATCCATTGCAAACATTACATCTATACACTACAGAATACACTTCATTTAAAGCATCTTTTTAGCTTTAGTGCATTTACACAGATCCAAGGTTTCTTATTCAAAATCAGTTTTTGAGGTCTTGCGAGTGGTGATTGAGTCAGTGCAGTAATCAAGTGTGTAAATGTATTCGTACACGTGTCGATCTAAATGTCTTGCTAGTAGGAGTGAGTGTTTACACCCTGCAGGATGTGTCTTACTTAGCACTGGGACTTGTTGAGCATGGGCTGGCCGATCAGTAGCTCACAGTGGGGAATACTTTATGGTGAGGCCTCGTCTCCATGGAGGCACATGGACAAGGTCGGGGCCATTGTTTTTTATTGTTTTTATTCGTGTCCCTCAGTAGTACAGTCCTACGTATGGAAGAAGAAAGAAAAACAACAGGGAAAGAAGGCTCTGTTTTGGTTGGGCATGAATTTTATATATACGTAAATACGCTTTGAAGAGACGTTTGTTCGACTCGATTGTTGGCAGGTTTGTCAAGCCGATTCCAGGTGGACTTTAAATGTAGTAACAATAAATATATCACAAGATATTGATGGTGGCATTTCATGGGCATCTCTTCAGAGTGATAATGGAGGACTTAAAAGCTCTTCTTTATAACAGCAAGAGGAGCAGAGAATGAAAAAGACTTTCCAACCATGTATTCTTTCATGTGTTTATCTTAAAAACAAACAAACTGTGAGACAGGTGATTCATTCTGATCCCTGATAGAATGTCAGCCAGCAGGCAAACACAAAAAAGTGCCATTTCTCCCCTTGGTTCCTTTGTAAAGATCAAGTCCTTTTAAAACAATAATCATGAAGCCTGTTCCAAGTACAAGTCTACTTGATTACAGTATGCTATGAATTGGCCCATTTTCTGCCTTTGTGGAGTACAAAGCACCTCACCTCAAGTGCTCCGTGTAGAGTTTTCTCCACCCTCCACACAGGTCTGTCAGTCAGAGGAGATTCTAATTGTCTTCACCTCAGAGGCTGCACTGGAGTTGGCCTGATTCAGCTAAACCAGCTCCCCCTGGAAAACACACTGGTGTGAATGAGAAAGGCGTGCTCCAAATAAGATGTAATGTGCTGCTGCTGAATGCAGAACAAATATCAGTATGTTGCATAGGAAATGCAATGCATAGAGTAGGGATGTCATGAGAACCGTAGAGACTACCGACTACCAAATTTCAGGTATTGTGACATCCCTAGTCTCTAAAATTGTGAGAAGTTCCGGTATCCATTGAATGAAAAATGGACTTGTTTACTTGTGCAAACACAGAAAGTGTGATTAAATTAGAAGAACGC